AACTGGAAGAAGGTAAACAACAAGACGAGCACCACCAAGCACAACCTAAGCACAAGCACAAAAACAAGCAGGCGGGCGGGCGGGCGGCTGGCTCTCGGGTCACAAGTCGTGGCGAGACATGGACACACTACCCACGTACTAAGTGGCTAAGGCAGGCACTGTGAAGTGTGAAGAACAACAACAACCCAAGGCCCACAGTGCGTCTGCGAGATGCAGACTCAGTACCTGCATGCCACGCCTCAGCTGGCCCTGCGTCCATGTTCCGACCTGAGGAAAAGCGAGAGTGCCTGAAGGAGGGTCCTGAGATCCCAGTTGGCACATCGGTGGTGACTGCCAGGCACCCACTGTGCAGTAGTGCATACGAAGTACCGTCTGCCTCCAGGTCTGCCTCTCTGTGCCTGTGAAGGGTGCAGTTGCAGTACCTACCTAGTTGCAGGTGCAGCATTGTGCAGTGCGGTGGAAAGTTGGAACGCAACGCAACGGCGCAGCGGCGGTGCTGGGAAAGAAGGTGGGTGGGCAGGAGAGAGGTACCGTCGCTGAGATGCAAGTACCTGTCCTCCTGCCATCGCTGCGACTGCCGGCTCACCAGGACCTCCCAGGCTCGCCGAGTACACGCAACAACACTGTGAACTCGATGCTTTCCTCCCACCTCTCGCTCTTTTCCGCTGCTCATTCACCGTCCACCCATCCACCCATCCAATTCCCAGTCCTGGTCCCAGTCGCTGCTGCCCCCCCAGTCCCAGTGTCCAAATACAGCCAGAGCCAGGCCATGCCCCACCAATACTGTCCGTCGCACTGGTAGGGTTGACGGCAGCCGGCGCCACGCCCCAAATTTACACCAGCGCACTAGGCCGCGCTAGTCCCCGGCGGCTCTAGCTCGAGATCTTCCGGCCAATGGAAACAGGGTGGCGAACTCGCGTATGGCGTCAAGCTGTGGAGCCACAGTGTCGTCCGCCAGAGCACTGTCCTCTGATCATCTCCCATTGGGCACCCTGTGGGTCCACCGCCGCCCCCCCATCCCTCCCACTGCCCAGTGTGCTTCCCGGTCTCCTTGCCCTCCGTGCCCTCCTCGCTCCTCTCGCCTGCCTGCACCTGTCCACCCTCCTCCCACCCTTTCCACTGCCTGCTCGATCCAACAAAACCATCGCTTGCTCCGGGTTCCTCTCTCCCGATACTTTTCAACATCTCTCTTCCCCCTCCATTTTACCGTACCTATTTTCCGCTCACCTCGACCACCAACCATTTCACTCAACACCCACGATATACACATACAACAATTTCACTCCTCCCAAAAAGACAAAAAAGCATTGCTTTATACCACCAATCTGTAACTCTTCAACACGCACACACACTTTTACTCGCACAACGTTCATCGACTCGGCGGGTTTCATTGTTTGTGTTTCAAAACTGCAATAATACCGCAAAGCTCGGCTCACCCACATAAGACCACCGCACTTCCGCCACACACCGCACACTCACGCACACACTCCGCCTCCCCCAACCAACAAAACGGCACCGCTTCTCCAACCTCCAACCACGACGACATCTCTACACATCTCCGATACACCCCGACAGATTCACAGATAATGTCTTCATACTACCAGTTCAACCAGCACGCGCATCCTACCCCTGCCGTCCCCGGCGCCTCCCACAACCACCACGGCGGCCGCAATCGCAGACAGCCCAGGCTCTCCGTCTCCCAAAATGCGCACAAGCAGTTCCGCGGCGTCCGCAGCATGAAGGAGCTGACCGAGACCGCTTCCATCAACGTTTTCCGCACCAAGTTCGAGGCTGGCCGCTCGTTCGACCTCGAGGACGACATGGAGTTCTGCCCTGGCCTGTTGACCGACAGCGACGTAAGTGACTCGGAGCCTTGGATCTAGGTCTCTTGATCCAGTGACTAATCATGGTCGCCTACTGCAGATGCACTCCATCAGCGCCTCTGAACGCTCTTCCCTGGCGAGTAACTCCCCGGAGTCGTCGCCTACGCAGCAACCCCAGACTGTCGCTCCCGGCTTCTCCCTCAACTCCTCTTCTCCCGCCTTCATTCCTCCCGCCTACCAGCACCAGAGCTTGAAGATCCACCAGCCGTCCGCTACCCGCGCCCGCAACGCCATCCCCATCGTTAACCCTGCCACGGGCATCCAGATGTCCAGCCCGCCGCCTTCGGTATCCCCCGCCAGGATGCAGCAGGGCATGCGCAGGTGGTAAGGAAGCCGCGTCTCACTCTCGTAACAGAGGGTCGGGGTGTGCGCCTCCTGCTATCTGTACCGACGCATGCTGTTGTGTTAAACTACTGCTTATTCGGCATCTTTGCTGATCATCTTGGTGGGCACCGAACAAAAAAAAATTTGGCATCGATGGCTTCTCTTGCGGGCTGGGTACCTCAAGGTACTGGGCGGACCGCTGGTGTGGTCTTGCTCTTCTGTTGGCTCAACATTTCTCCTGTATAAACAACCTCACACGACATACCCTTGTTTAACCGGCAAAATTCCTTCGAGGCTTTACACGGCGCGACACGAGAAGTTATCGATACCATTTTCCTTTTTTTGGACTTTCGACTACAAAAAATTCGACAAAAATCAATTCGGTGTCCTACCTCTCAAGGTGAGGCTGGACTTGCACGAATGGCGTTCCCACACGGGTGGTTTTGCATTTTTACGACATTGCATCGGTGCCTGATGGCACCTCGGCGGAGTTCTCGGATATAATTAATTCTCGGCATCTTTTTTCACGGACAGCGGGGACGACTTCCATTTTTTTGATTTTCAAGATGATTTTCAAAAATATCAGTTGCTCATCATGGTGCTCGACGGGTTACGAAGTCATTCCGAAAAAGATTATCTCGACATATAGAATGAGTGTCTTTTTACAGCAACTTATTCGGAGCGGGGGCAACGGGTGTTTCTGTTATGGGCTCACAACATTGGGAAATATCAAATGGGCGGTGGCGGGCAAAGACATGCGTTGCTATTGTTTTGCGGCAAATCTCCAAAGCTTGGAAACGGGGTCCGGGAAATACCTTTGGGAAAAGGTGGAGTTGGTCATGGTTTCGGTCCGGGTGGTCTGCTGGCGGTGAACCTTCCCGGGAAGGGGATCGGGCGGCACCCATTTGCTTTCTTGTGCCTCTTCTCTCATTATTTTCATTATTCGAAGATGGACCATTCTCATCTACTGCTTGGTCTTCCTGGGAGGGTCTTTTCTCTTGTCACGGGGTTTACAGGCATCTCCAGGGACATCGGGGAGTGTTGGGCGGTGGATTCTCTCGCACCTTGTCTGGGAGCACTTTTTCGCGAGCATATTTTGGAGACGTTGTGTTGTTTCTGGGGAGCAGGCATGACACGATAAATGGCTCTTGTGGTTTACTGGGTCTGGAGAAAGGGATACCTCTTTTGGGTGGTTGTACAGGAAATGCTCAAGACGTGAAAGGGTGTTCAACGGGGGGGTCAGACCTGAAGTGTCGGATCCCATGGCGCGAAGCCAGCAAGGCGCAAATGCAATATACGATATGTTCATCTCAACCTCGGTGTTCTCTTGGTGATGCGATCGAGCCTTGCGCTGAGTGATAACGTGCTCCGCCCCAACGTGCATGCAGCTGCGAGAAATGCTATCTGCTCTAGAGGATTCGGAACACGGGCGATGTCAGCAAACGTTCGGTCCCCTGTTGGACGATGAGGTTCGGATTGTCTTCGCTGGCTGACGACCTTCGTTGGCTCGGGACTCATGCACAGAAGCAGGTAAGGGAAGAAGAGTCAAGACATTGATACCCCACGGCCCCCGCGCTTACGCTACATTGAGAGGTGACTCGAAACCCGCATCTTTTCCCCCTGAGATCTGGCAGCACTCCTCCGCTCATGCAGAGCAGATATGCGGGTGATATGAGACGTTTAAATTGAACAATCGAATATTGCTACCGTAATATGCTAAATTGTACGTCCAACCCACCCCGCCCCCTTTTTTTTGCCCTTCTGGAAGGCAGTGTGTTTGTTGAGAGGGGCGGAGCAGCTGAGTGAGGGGCAGCGTAGCAAGCTCAGGCGGAAGGGGAGTTGAGTGACCGGCCCTGTCTGACTCTCCTTGTGCGAGAATGAAAGTAGACTGAGAATCTCCCCGGTTGCCCCGAGCTTTGCGTCTTGAACAATGTAGCCGCCGGGGATGCGACAGAGACAGAGACGGGCTGGGTATGCACATATCTAGCTAGGTAGGCTGGGTAAGGCGGTCTGTAAGGTAGGTAGGTCGCAGCCTGCTGCTGCCGTCTTTGCTTCTTCTTCTTCCCTCTGCAAGCTGCCGGCAGGGGCTGGGCGTGGTGAGGCAAGCAAGGGGCGGCGGCGGCGGGGGAGGGAGTGCTTGTGCTTGCGCTTGCCCCTGAAGGTGGATAGTGATATCACGTGACATGACGCCTCAGCTGAAGAATCTGCCCCACTCTTGCAAGTCAGATGCGACTTGTGTTACGAGGACCTCTGCGGCCTGGCTGCTCACATGATCTGATCACGTGATCGTCATCTGCCAGCTGCCAGGAGCTGTTAACGCCGAAGGCCAGGGGGAAGGAGGGGCTTGCAAATTGCTCAAAGGCAGTTGGGCAAGGTGGGAAGACGAGCAAACTCCACATGGTTTTCCCTTTTCCGCATCCGATGGTCAGCAAGGCACAATATTGGAGCTCGGGCCTGGGCCTGCGGGGCGCACCTCTGGCCTTCTTGCCTGCAAATGGATGTCACTTGCACGGAATGGGTAGCTGCGATGATAGTGACGTCAGTGCTTTCGGGTAAAAGCGATGGGAAGAGCTCGTCTTTGCCTAGGTAATGCAGCAGCAGCAGAGCTCTTTGACGGAAAGCGCATCATCGTCATTATCGTGGAAACCACATTCCTGTCTCTTTCAAAAACTAATTCCCTCAATTTTTCATTTTCTTTGCTCTAACACCTACGCATTGAAACCAATTGAAAGGAATCAAGCCTGCAAAAGTAATACTACACCACAACAAGACGACAAAAACGAAATAGACACAATGGCTTCCCGCTTCGTCCTCGCTTCCACCCCCATCGCCCGCGGCGCTTTCGTCGTTGGCAGACAGACCGCCGCCTTCTCGACGACGAGATTCATGGGCTTGAAGGAGTCTGCGAACCGTAAGTTGCCTCGACCTTTTCTTTGCGCCCCCAATCGTCTTGAGGACTGGAGAGGAAGCGAAGCTTTGCCTGTCACGATATTGTGACGAAGCTATCTACCCATGATACCCCACCCGTTCACGACATCATCACTTTATCCCCAAACCATCAAAAGCCCAATTCCCATCCCCAACCAGCCCTCCACTCATACCTCTTGCAACCCTTCTCAACAAGAAACAAAACAAGAGCTAACCATCTCCCCTAAGAAACAGAGACCGACCACGAGAAGCACAAGCAAGACTCCCTGCACAAGCAGAAGCAGGGCAAGGGTCACTGGAAGCCCGAGCTCGCGTCCGACAGCGAGGAGGCCCTCAAGGCGGACCGCAACACCGAGGGCGTCGACCCCAAGACGCTGGCGGAGCGCACCAAGAAGGCTGCCGAGGAGACGAGCAAGGCCGGTACGAGCATGCGCGAGGGGCTGTAAAAGCACGTTGTCGAGGGGATGATGGATGTTTTGTTTGCTTATTTGCTTTTTTGTGATTCCAGCTTGAACGCCTCCTTGTCACATGCCAACTTGCATGGTCTTGACAAGGCCTGGTACGCTTCCCACCCCATGCCATGTGCGCGCAACGGCGAACAGAACGAGACGCATAGAGTGTACAGAATCGCGTGTGAGAGACGGCTGTATGGGATTGCTGGGCTTATTATGAAAAGATTGCATGCGGATGAGGACGGGGTTCTCGGGCCGGAGTAATTGTATGTATGTTAGGCCTGGGTCTGGAATTGATCAGTTCGAACGACGCTACATGATGTTCTGGTGATGTTTGTGCTTGCACCGAGTTTTTCAAGGCCTGGGCACGCTCAATTCGCAGCTCGCCCTTCGCCAGCGTTAAACTTCAAAAGGCCATCCCTAGAGCTCACCTAAGGTCCAACTATTTATAAGTTAGGGTATGCAACTAATGGCTAACTCAAAAAACAAAAATTCTTCCGGCAGATTGGTGACTGCTGATTATCAGCCTCAATTAAATTTCCCGGTATGCTAAAGGCGATCATAGTCAAATCCACTTGGATGAGCCCCAACTCCGACGGCTCTCCGCTCCATAGCCCTGGTGCATGAAGCTGAAATACACAAGCAACAAGCTCAGTGACGGACGGCAGCAGTGTCGAGCCAGATCAGCGTACTCCAAGCGAAAGCAGAGCCGGTCTTTTTCAAGGAGAGAGTCGCACTATTTCTCAACAGCGCGTGAAGGGTTCGACGTGGCGTATTTCGCGTGGATCATAAATCATGGTATGTGATTTCCCGCAGCTTTTGTATTTCCTTCGATGGAGATGGTTTCGGCTCAGAGGCCTCTTGCTGCGGATATATTATGCCGTGGCGGAAGATCGAGTGACCAGACGACAAAATGCAACCCCTTGGATGTTTTTTGTCCTCTCCTCCAACTTGGAACGAAAGCTTTGAACTTCTGAATCTTGTCAAGCTACACAAACCAACAGCCGCCTCAACTTCTCTATGCCATCGTCCGGTGATGGCGGTATCCCCCACGTATCCTGCGGTATAAGTTCTGGCCAGGCGTCAGCATTCATGTACAGTTTCACACCTGGGACGGACCTTCTCCTCACAGATATAAGTTCCTTTCTTAATGATTGCATACTGCACTTCGGTAGAATCCATTGCCGGCTCGAATAAAATAGAATGCCTGTATGGTACGCTTTTTATGGAGCATGGGCCGTTGCGTCGCTGTCCGGTTCGGACACTCACTTCAAAGGCACTATAAAGCCCTTCTAGAAGTCTCCAGCTACACCTGCAGCAAACAATAAACAGCGTATTCGTACAGAGCGTTCAGGAAGTGAGCCCTTCGTCGCATGGTTGTAACACAAGTCACATTCTAGTATTAAGTCTAAGCAATGGCAATGGGTTCCTGAACACAGCTCTCGTCGCTTTCTTCTTCTTTTTATTCTCTTTGCATACACGGATGCTTCTTGTCTGATCCTATGTCTACCATGACAGATCTGCAGGTCCTCGTACCGGGACGAAGGGTATGTCCCGCATCGAGATATTCGCTAGATCTTCCGATTCAGCAACGGCGCCTACATCGCGTAGAAGAGTATAATTGTAAATCCATGGGTGTTTAATGCATAGCCAGATTTTATCATGTGAGATGTGCGAGGGGCTGCTCCCCAACCATTCCCAGCGCATGGCCTCTAGCGTCTACTCGTCGCAGCTTCAAGTCTATATATTGAGGTTTCCCAAGCTAGAACTTGTTCATCCAAGCCAAATAGGCCCGCTGTCATGTTGTAGATTGCTGCTTGAAGATGACTTGAGCTTTGGCCATCATGTCAATCATGGTCGGGACACACGCGAACCACGAAATTGAGACCGCAGCTCCGTCTGTCATCGTTATCATCTCCGTCCAGCTAGTATTATGTCTCCGGAATATCAGAACACTATGCACACAGCGCACGTTCTTTTCTTGAGACTTCTTTCTACTTTGATTGTAGATTGACATGATGCGTAAGACACCTCGGTCATCACAACGTGATGTGGTTGCTTAACCAGCATATTTGGCAGTGTCATTATCTCCGAATGTAGGTATCCCTGTTTATAGATGTCCCCAGTAAAGGGCATGCGCATGTCACAATCACAAAGTTGGAGCTCTCTCAGGCATGTCTGTTCCCCTAAACGTATATATATAATTCTTTTGTGGGCAATGCATTCTCTGGAAAGACGAGCACAATGCTTGTTCCCTGTCTATCCCTGTCACAACTTCCGGACTGGACATCCATCAGATGCAAAAGACCTAAATGGTTCGGGAACTTCTGCATGAAGCTTCTCTGGCAACGTAGATCTGCTTTCTGTCATCCTTGGATGTCCATCACTGTTACTCGACTGAATAATGCATGGCATGCAACTTCACAAAACCCTCCTCAACTCGAGAAGGTGAGACCACCCTGGTATTGATAGGCCGTGCTACTTATGTCTTGGTGACTTAATGACAAGCTCCTAGCATGCCGGAATGCATGATGATTGGTGGAGAGCTATCGTTTCATGAAAGGCAGTGAGCTTGTATAACCTAGATACCGATGCTCAGGTGCCATCTCGCTGGTGCAGGCTGCTAGCGGCACCTACATGGAGCCCATGGTTGTTTCCACGTCCCCAGCAAGCCGAAGAAGAAGAGTGGTTCCCACGCAAGCCGGCAGATCAGGGCTTCATAGTCGAAGAAAGAAGATACAAAAGGCTCGACGCCACACGCAAGGTATGGCGAAAGATGCGAGACCGCCCAACGGGATCAGCCGAGTACGGCCCCGTATTGAGTCGCGATTTGCCTTAGTGTACCAGAATGTTCATATGTTTAAAGAGTGCCTCCAAGCTGTACTAGACTGTCTTGCCAGGGGTCGTGGTTTCCACATGCCCGTCATCCTTTTGAATCATTTCCAGTGGATTGTGACTGCTATTCGCTAGGTAGTTACGTTTCAATCATCTCAGAGATCATTGTGGCCCTTGGACTCACCCATATACATCCCATCAGAGCTACTCGGTGGTCATAGCACGATTGCTGTTCCGTTTCAGAGGAGTAGGCAACAAAGCAGATTGAAGATCGGATCGCAGATTGATTGCTGTTTGCCAAGTTTCAAAGAGCAACGGCGAGGCCAGCCTTTTAAATGAACAACCTGCAGGGCTGTCAACAGCAGCGAGTTTTCTTCCCGTCTCGCGATCGTACCATAAATCATGGGAGAACTCTAGCCACAACCTCCCTCCGCCAACGTGAGAGTATATATTGATTCAAGAGCATGAAATAGTCGGCTCTCCGGGCAATATGTCTCCCTGCTTTTGACGTCGATTCAAGCTTCGTTTTCCCAACCATGATCAATCAAGATGCTGTTTGGGTATCGCGTAGAATATGGGAATACCTTCAGAATAAAAAGATCCCGATACTGGACGGCGGCAGCAACAGTTTGAGACGGACTTTATCGAAGTAACCGATTTCAAGACCATTCCGCCCTGGAGGAGCTGGAATCTCTTCATTGTTCCAATAGAGCAGAGAACACGCTTTTCGAATTTTGCCCCTGTTGAAGAGAGTAGGCAGCCATTGCGTAGACTTATATACTCGGCTTGCCCGGTACTAGTGGGACGTTCACCACATTCCGAGATGTACAGTCAACCCCCGTTAAGACTCACGACTTGGTTCGACCAGATTTCAATGGCACACGCTGTTCAAGATCTGACAGTCAACACTCGAATCAATGCCATTTTTTCCGTCCTCTACGCCAGAGCTTGAGCTCCCTTCCCTATAACCCACGCTACATTCTCCATAAATGCGAACCCGCCCGCCCAACGTCGCCAGACGCCGCCATGGGGTTACGCCCGTATAATTAGACAACGAAAAACATCATGCCAAAACGCCAGGTATGACCGCCCGCTCCCCAGGCGATCCCCATATATCCCTATAAGGTGCCGTGCGATTCAGGGGTAAAACACCATGACCCCCCAGAATCCCGCCTCTTCCACCCACACTCACATCTTCAAGTTATACGTCCCCGCCAGCTTCGGAAACGTCTGATGAAACGCCTGCCCCAGCGTCCAATTCTCAATCCTCCTCAAATGCCTCTCAAACACAGGGTTAATCACCACCTCGTCCGACTCCGGCACCTGCAGCAGCGTATCCGTGTCCTCATACCCCCAATTCAAACTCAGCGTCGTCGTGAACGGCACGAAGAAGTTGTCAAACAGGTACTCGCGCGGGTTATAGTCGCGGCACAGCTTCTCGCGCATCGCGGGGAAGGGCACGTGGTCGATCCAGGCCGGGTGCTCCGTGAACAGCTGCGACGGCCGCGGGCGCACCCAGTCGGGCAGCCGCTCAAAGTTTTCTTGTGTGGGCGAGATCTGCCAGCGCATGATGAGGAACATGATGTACAGCACGGCGACGCGCTGCGGCAGCGCCGAGAGGTCCGGGAAGGTGGCCAGGATGTCGGTGAAGACTTTCGACAGCGGGTGCGAGTACTTGCTGTTGGCCGGGTTGAGCAGCGAGAGGACGGAGGGGTAGCGTGGGCCGATGACCTCGTGCGCGGAGAGGCCGTCGGCGGCGCGCTGGCGGCGCTCGTGCAGGAAGTCGAGGAGGAGCGAGTCGAGCGGGCAGGTGGGGCCGCAGTTCTTCACCTCGGCGGAGTAGCTCGCGAGGGCGCGGGAGGGCTCGGACGGCGCGGATGACGGGGTGGACTGCGCGGGACCGTAGTCCATCTGGGAGGAGCGCGGGGTGTGGACGGCGGCGTTGGCGTTGGCGTTGGCGTTGTTGGCGTTGTTCGCGGAGGTGGAGGGGCCGGAGAGGGAGGGGCTGCGGGAGTGGGAGACGGGGCCGACGCCGGTCCAGTCGTGCTTCATAGGGACGTGGTGGTAGTGCGGGGAGTCCTGGGCGCCGTTGGGGCCGCTCTGGATCTTGCCGAGGCGGGCGTTGGAGTCGAGGAGGAAGTCGAGGCCGAGACGCTCCGGGCCGAGGTCGAGGCCGTGGCGGAGGTCCTGACGTTGCTGGTTGAGCATCTTGCCGGCGGCGTACATGTGGTTCGGGGGCGAGAGGTCCGGGATGCCGCCGCCACTACCGCCGGAGGTCTGCCAGTTTGCGGTGGGGTCCAGGGAGGCGGGCGAGGCGGCGCTGTTGGGCGTCGAGGCGTTGTTGGCGGACATGGGCCCGTTTGGGTGGTGGACCGGGTGGGAGTAGCTTCCGGATGGGGAAGGGAAGACCACAGGGTCTGGCGGTTCTGCGGGTTCTCGGTTAGGACCGTGCCGTAATATGCAGGGAGAGTGAGAGGGCTTACGTTGGACCGCTGGTGTGGATGAGATCAGCGGTTGGATGGAGGTGATGAAGGCCTGCAGACGGCGTTTGAGGTCCGCATTCTCCGCCTCAACAGCCTCCTTGGCGCGTAATACGGCCTGGAGTTCCTGATAGGGCTGCTGGGAGGTGAGCTCCTGGATGCGGCGCTCCAGCGTCTCGATCTGGTTCTTCGTGCGCTCGCGGATGGCTCGCTGGGCCTCCCTGTCGTTGGCGCGCTTCTTGGCCAGCTGCTCCGGCGTCAGGTTCGCGACGCCCCTGGACCCGGGCCCGGTCTTGCGCTTCTTGCCCGTCTCGGCAGGCGGCTGCGACGCCGGCGAGGTCCCGGGCCCGGCCCCGCCGGTCGGGGTGCCCGAGTCCGCGGCGTGTCCTCCATGTCCACCGGCAGGGCTGTAATGCGAGTCCGGGACGCTGCGCTTGTTATTGCTGTTCAGGACGGTGGTGGTTACCGACGAGGCCACGGAGCCGGCGGGACTGGGGTGGGAGACGGCATCGGGGGCCATATGAGAAGTCGGACACGGAGCCGGTGCAAGCAAGCCCAGGTGGGTCCCCCGGGAATAGTAAGCCGCGTCCGATAGGGAGGGGGTTCACCCTGCGGTACCCGTACCCGTAGCCCTACTCAGGTCAAGCTCCGCTCTCGGTCAGGGAGCCGGTCTTGGCCGTGATCGCGCGACGGCGGCGACGGCCGTGAGGCATAGAGGACTTATCCCGCAATTGTGGAGTCCAGAGCAGGAAACGAAATGCGGCGATTGGTACCGGGGGGTAAGGGGTTGATTACCGCCGTGTGGGCGGGATGGTTGCTTAACAGAAGAAAGAAATTTCGGGGCCCCTGGATACCTTCTTCCTGGGCTTTTTTTGCGGCTCCCTTGTTCTGGTGGCCGCCGCAGGAAACCAAACAAAACACCACACTCAAACGAACAGGTCCTAGGACCGGCGGTGCGGTGCAGCGCAGCGGAGCAGTGGGCAGTAGGAACGGAACGAAACGAATAAAAATTCTTGGTCAAAGTGCGACGAGGGGGTGGGAAAATGTGGTAAGGTATGATCTGAGGGGCGGGTTTTCCGGGGGGGTTCGCTAGCTGGCTTGCTGTGCGCTCTCACTCACTCAACTCACTCTCAGCTCAGCTGCACATCAACTCGCTTGCTTGCTTGGGAGCCTTGGATTGAGCGCAGCAGCAGCAGCGCGACGGACGGGAACAGGCGAATGGAATGGGGTGATAATGAATCATTCAGAAACCGAGGGACGGCGACGGAAGGCCAAGATCCCGAGTCATGGCCCAGCTCGGTAAACGGTGCTGATTTGCGCTAGCCTCGGGCATTTCTCGCGTTACTGCAAAATGCGGACAAGGGTTGGTGGGCTTGCGGATCTTTGAAGGATAGATGGGCCTTCCTCCTTGTCTTAATTCTTGGGAACTCCGGATGCAGCTGGCCAGATGTTTAAAGAAATTCAATTTTTTGTTTCTAATCTTTCCGCTCTCTTCCAGCTTTCCCCCTCCACCCTCGTGATTCCCAGACATCGGCTAAAATTCGAGGGCGGGGGAGACGAAAACTCAAAAAAGATGGTTTGGGTTAGAGTTTGTACAGACAGAGCATAGGTAGGCAGCTGGAACAACGCGACCTTCCTTAGCAGTACCTACAACAGCTTGTGTGTGTCGATTTGGCGCTATGGGCGTCGAGCTGATGCCACTTGTACGACTGCGAAGCACACACGGCTGCAGAACGTCCCAGGAACTTGCCGGTTCATGCGGTTTGTTCGCTGTCAGGACCGGACTGACTGACTTGTCCGTTTCCTCGTTTTCGCAGCGTAGGAAACAGGCGGTCAAGACCTCAACAGCCCAAGATGAGCAAGAAAGGGGGGAAGACTGAGAGACCATTATGCACAGACTTTCATCTGAATTATGCAGGTTAAGATGGGTTGTACACGACGACATTGCCAGCTTTATGCAAACATCTTCGACACTCATCTAGAAAGAAAATCAAGTCAGAGACATCTGGGAGGGTGGCGTCGGGATGGAAGCTCCGCCGTAGGGCGCGGACTGGCCGTCCTATCACAAGCTTCTCCTCGCAACAGTGTCTCACATATGACTGACCCTGAACAAAGAAGCACGGGAAGCCAAAGGAAAAACCATTGTTATTCTAGACCAGCAGCCTTAAATGCTAATCCGCCGAGCGTTCGAGCCAAAGCCAGCCCCCGCCAACCTGGGTATCCATTCAAAGCCAAAAAGCCATTATCGTTATCGTCAAACATCGTCATCTTACTCCAGACTCCCTCCGCCCAAGAAACACCAAAAACATTCGCACGACATCATCATGCCTTGACCGCTTCCACAAAGAGCTCCCGCATGCCCTTCAGCAGCACCGCGAGCTCTCTCGTCTCGTTGAGCTGGTCCAGCACCTTCTCCACGCGCTCGCGCTCCAGCTTGGGCCTGCAGTGCCGGATATCGTAGTCCCTGCTCGACGTCGAGAGCTCGAACCACGCCTCCCTGTCCCAGTCCTCGCTGTCGATGTAGCTGTAGATGAACTTGAGCCGGTCGTCCTGGCCCGCGCCTTCTATACGCAGGCCGAGGTTCTGCTGCCAAAACTCGAGCTCGGGAACGTTGAATCGCGACTGCGCCTCCAGCTGCGCGGCGTGCGCGCGCTGCGCCGCGACCTTCGCGTCGATCTCCTTCTGCGTCTCCTCGATCTGCTTCTTCAGCGCGTCTCGTGTGGCCAGGTGCTTGTCGCGCTCTTCCGACAGCTGGGCGATGGCGGCCTGCATCTCGCGCGTCTCGGCCTTTTCCTTCTGGACGGTTTGTTGGTGTGTGCTCGTCTTGTGCTGGAGGATCTCAATGTCCTTCTTCTTCATGCGTTGGTCCTCTGTGATACAGTCAGTCAGCATCGTTTGGGTATCGATACTGCGGGAATGCTGGCGCGGCCCGACGTACCTTGGAGTTCGGCAATGTTCATGCGAAACTCGTTCCTCTCCTCCAACACGCGCTTGCGCCCTTGCTCAATAAACCCGTCGAATCGTGAAGAGAATTTGTTCATGCGGTCGCGCAGCTCGTCGAAGCCGAAGTTCGCATTCGGGAGGGTGTCGGCGACCGATGGGGTTGCCATCAGGGACTGGCGGTTGATGCTCGCGGAGAGCGAAGATTCGAATGCTGACGACATCGTGGTTGCTGTATAGTGCTATGCTGTGCAAATCGTAAAATCGTTTCGAAGCGACGTGAGGATAGATTAGCAGCCTTCTGCAATCGCAATCGCATGTGACGGAAGAATGGGGTTAGGTGGGCTTGGGAAGTGGGAGGATATTTTTGGTGTTTATGTCACGCGTTGCTATGTCAACAATCTGGCAGGTGCCAGAAGGGCTGCTGACTAACGCTTTTGCTGACTATTCCACCCAGCCCCTGACCGGTTCAATAGCCTCCTTGGATAACATCTTCCGGCAGGATGCTGTTGAAACAGCTTCATGGGGTGATGGGATTATCTACTCTTCTGTTACCTATGTTTCAATTTGGCTCGCTTCCTGACTGAAGCAAGAGCGGCTCGTCCGGAAGCATGTGCGGGATTCATGTCCGGAGGCGGCCCCGCCTTCGGCGTCCCAAGCCGGACTTCACGGACTCAACGTGACAAAAATGCTCTAATGTTCAACAGTCAAAACCCCTAGGTGTTGAAGATCTGAAAATGCCTCGAGATGGGTAGACTGATCTATTCAGGCTATTCTCCCGGCTCTTTTGAGCTCACTCGGTCAGAGAAGGCCTTGTATCTTTCCAAGCTTTCTTTGGGCCAGTACTCTTCCATGGGCCCGTACTCCTCAAACACCACATCCCCCTCCGGAATATCAAACCACCTGTGCCTCTTACTTTCACCTCCAGCAAATATATGCGCATGCGGCCTCAATCCTCCCGAAGGAACGTACCTCTCCCCGTCCACAAGCCCATCAATCGTTCCCACCCGCACAATCTTCAGCAGACTCCTCGTCGTTCCCGAGTAATGGCTCCACAGCACCGTAAAGCACTCCGGACACCGCACCATGACCTGCCCCTCTGGCCCCGACGTCGCTGTCGGGATGCCTTTCCGCAGGAGCCGCGCCTCGGCCTCTTCGCCGGTTTCGCCGGTCGATAGCGTCGTGTGGACGCGGTCCGGCTCGTACAGCGCGTTGAGCGCGAATGAGGTGCCCGTCTCCCGTTGGCAGTACGTGCAATGGCATGCGTGGACGATGAGCGGGGATGAGGAGAGGGTGTAGCGGACGTGGGAGCAGGCGCAACGGCCTGTCAAAGGGCTCTCGCTCGTGGGGCTCTCATTTGGGCTCCTGGTATACGGTCAATTGAGAGAAATTTCCCGGCGGCAGCAAGAGCAGTACTCACCCCATGTCTGGATTTTCGACGAGGTTTCAAGGTAACAATGTTTTACGAATTGACAACTGAGATTGTTTAGGATAAGTAGATAGCGCTTTTCTTTGCAGGTGAGCATGCCAACCGAGATGCATATTGCGTCATTCCTATCCGTGGGGAAACACAACAGCAGCTTCGGCAGGGATACCTTCAAACTGACGTTTCCTCTCCTTACATAAAGCCAGTCTGCTCGACCTCTTCTTCGACTTGCAGACAATGTTATAAGAACCAGGTTCATGATCAAAGAAGACACGGAGCAAGACAACACCCCAGATCACGCAGGCATGAAAAGGCCCATAATGATGAACCGGAGTAAAGATAAGAAATCTTTAGATCAAGCACTCACAGTAATTCTTTCACGCAGCGTAGAATACCCTCTCTCTTTGGATTCGCTTAAGCTCCACACGTCTAGTTTACCAAGGCCAACATGGAGTCTTCTATCATTATCATAGCCACTTTGGCAATCACCTAGATAGGTTTCTCTCATTTTCATACTGGAGCCAACAAATGAAATAAAGTTTGATATCTCCATCTTTCTAGACAGCCAGACCACATGAGGGCGGTACAGTAGCTTTCAAGATGATTGAGAACAATGCGTTCGCTCTTCAGGGACATGCCTCAGACACCCTGTCGTTTGTATACTTACTTTAAGCTGTGAAAGACTACCGCACCAGATTGCGGGATTGTGAATAAATCTCAAGTCGATACCTCGCGGCCTGAATCACTACAAAGCCCCTAGCCCCGTATAAGAAGGACATTTCTTTCCCATCGCTGGGGCGACTTTATTTACGTGCCTTCAATGATAACTAAGGTAGATAAAGCAGTCACTCTCTTGAAAACCCATCCATTATCGTCGAAGTTTCCAAAAGCATCTCCCAAGAGCCTTGTATATCGAGGTAGCCTCAAACCAAGCATCAATCATCACCACAGCTCCCACATCAAAGCAATCCCACACCAATCTTGGGTATTATCCTCTTCTTTCCCCTCCACAGAGGGGTGCTTCACTAACAAAACCGAAATGCAGGTCAACATGGCCGACCCCCACATCATCCTCGAAACCCACCTCTACTCCTTGCCCCCCAACGGCGCTCCCCCTTGGATCCGCAGCTTCCACCTCCGCCTGTGCCCAACCGCCGCCACCAAGGCCGATATCCTCACCCTCGTCCGCAACTCCGTCGTCCGCATAGGCCGCGCCGACCCAGTCGTGGAAGCGCAGGTGACGCTCTTCTTCACGCGCAACGGCCACGTCGCGTCCCTCCCCGGAGCCAGCAACCTCGGCACCAACTGCGTCGCCGTCCCGATCTACCAGCCTCCTCAGCTGATCAACTACTATGTCTCGCAGCCGCAGCAGCAGATGGGTGCTCCCGGCTGGCCTCTGGGCCTCACCTACGCTAACGGCGTCAACTGGCTGCACTCATACGGCCCCGGAGGTATGATGGGTATGGGAGGAGGACAGCAGCAGCAGCAGATCATTGTCGGCGGTCAAATTGGCTTTATCAACGTCAATGTTCCATCTGTCAATGTATCTGGGGGCCGTCCGGTTGTGTCTGACGTTTTCAGGGAGGCTCGGCTCGATGGAATCGCGGAGGCAGCTTTGGGAGGACTGTTGGAGTGGGTTGGAGGACCGAACGGTCTGAAGCTGATCGTCATTGTGGATGTTGACGGACGGGATGTTCTGCCTGCGGTTATAACCCTGCCGGAGACGCCTTCGGTGGTCACCCCTCCCGGTGCTCAGGCTACTTCGCCTCCTGCTGCGGAAGATGCCCCCGCCGAGCCTACGGCCGAGTAAATACTTTGATGCCTGTGGTTAGGAAGAAAGACATTGGGCTGTAAAAGTTAACTAGCTAGGTTATTAGCTAGGTTAGAGGATTAAGCACGCTGGTTTCGAAGAGATTATTGAGTATAAACTGTAGCTCGAAGACGCTCGGTGATCCCTGTGACAACTCCCGTGAGGCAACCATCCGCCCAGATGTGCTCGGCTTGCACCAAGTATAAATGTTGAACTCGGCCCCTCATCTGGCTGCTCCAAATTTTCTAGTCGCTCTTTCATTGGCAATAGCTGTACAAAAGCTGAGTAGAGCTAGATGGCATGCCGCCGAGAACGCATACCACACCTGCTATCTGCTCTTTTCGTTGTATGGTTGCGTCTCAAGTATTCTGAGATGATTTCCACCAGGGGCGAGGAATATTGAGCGGAAAGTGCTGGGAGGAGGCTATGAAACGACATCTCGGCGCGCCCTCTTCAGCTGTCCCAGAGGATCTAAAACCCATACTTTGAACTCGTAGGAGATCCTCTTTTTTTTTTTTTTTTTTTTTTGAGATGTCCTCTTACCAGGAGACAAGATTTGTTCCACAAAAGACTCATCTTTTCGTGCCTGCGAAGCATCATGTTGAGGAAGTTTCGTGCTCGCCCAGTAGGTCTGGGAAGCATTATATAATGTAAAAGCCACCTACCGCCCACAAGATTCAAGATTTGTGTCATAACGGAATCAGCCTGTCCAAGGCCCCCGTGGGACATCTCTTCCATGGCGAAGAAGCATTGTACCGACACATATAAAACCTTTAGATCGCAGCGAACCCAGACCTGATGGCCCAACAATCTAACCAGCTCGATATCTTCTGATTGAGCTCCAGAGTCATTGGATGGACATAGGCAGTGCATCGCCAACGCATCCTGGGTTCTTGCTGACGGGTTTTCTCGAGCAGTACCCTTTATCGCAAGCAGAATACATCGCAGACCGTAGAGACAAATAGAAGTAAGTGAGAACACAGGGGGTTCCAGCATTTTGACCCATGTGTGGTACGTGAAGAATACATCAAGTATGAAGGCTAGGTGAGGTACAATGGCGAACGAACCATCATACTCCACATCCACCACCATCAGCAGCTGATTGGTCTGTTGTAAAATCCTAAAAGACTGGCCATTGTCTAATTAAATACCTTCTCTCCTGTGTCAGGCTTATTGCTCCCAAGCTGCATCAAGAACGTAAAACCCGAGGCATGGTGTCTTCTTGTATACTGGACCGCAATAGAGATTGTCGGTCACGCTGTTTACACATCTGATTCGTCGAGATCTGTCCGTCTTACACGTATGCCCACGATCTAAGCAAATCGGGGATAAGAAAATTGGCAATTGCCCGTCAATCGTCGTCGTCGGTCATCACTTTGGTATAAATAAGGCGATTATCATGCTTCTGCTAAGCGTTGTCTTTATGATGAAGGCAGCTACTTATTATTACATGCGATGACAGAAGATCCTTGCTGCTGACTCCAGCTCAGACTCAAGCGGCTCCCAAAGAGGGTCCAGTTATGCCCCATTGCTGTTGTTGTCTAGGAATTGGTGGACATTTATGCGCCTTTATACTATCCATCACCAAACACAACACGACACTAATCAACTCTACTAATTCCCTCCCTTGCCATGACGAATGGAGTCCGCATGTATAAAATTTGCAGTCAAACGGACCATATGCCACACCAAATGAACTCTTCATAAGTTATTTGGAGTCTCTGACATGCAAGTTTGAGCTATGGGGACGCTAGGTGATCCCAAAATATCTCACCACGCCCAAAAGTATTTGGTTGTGTCAACGTGATTGCTGAAGCAATAAACTTGAATAACAGATAGTATACACCGAGGGGAATAGGGATATGAGATCATAAAGGAGAACACTGTAGTTCCTAGCATCTCGATGTATCATGCATCGGACTTCAAGATCACGCGAGGTGTTCGGCCTTACCTGTCATTCCACGAACGCACAATTAGACTTCCCCACAGCGAATTGTCCCTGGGGCAATTCAATATGCAAAGAAAACATCATTAGGCTTTATGATGCCTCTTTTCCCACGCCAGACCTCCCTTTCATGCGCTACAGAAAGTATATCAAGACATAGCCATGCTATCTTCAATCTTACCAAACCGCAATATGCGGCGCTCCTCCCCTACTTTACGCGTTTAGCTTGGTCGTGGTCAGATTGTCTCACACGCACTACGATACCTTCCTCTAGTTAATCATAACCAGAAGCGTATTCTCTAATCCATCGTCGTCCATAATTCCTTATGTATACGTGACACTAGAGTCCTCAGTCGAACTTTGTCCCCACAAGCAACAGGTTACCCCTGAACTGTGGTGAAGAACGAACTTGCGCTTGTCTTAGTTTCAGAAGCAAACTATATGGCGGGGTTACACGTCATTTGCCGTTGCTGATCTTCTTAAGATCGCATATAGATTCGGACGCCCTTTTGTCCTGGTTCCACATCATGACCACTTGCCTCATACCGGCCACCGGTACCACACATATCTAGAGCAACCAACCATGCAGACTGCCTCAGACACAGTCTCGCATTATAAAAGCTTTCTTAGCGTCACAAATTTCATCTCGGTAGTTCATGATCATCGATGCCTGGCCTCGTTGGCTCCTCTACGTGCCAGCCCAACTCCGTATAGTTACTGCTATGACGACTGCCCACCGCTCAGGATAGCGTTCGTTGTATGACTTGCACGTAACATGTCTTCGTCTCTGTCATCACGACCTTATTCCATTTGGTGTCAAAGTCCGGTAATAGGAAAGACGAGACACATGTCAGCCAGCCGTGTTAGGATCACACTAATCCTCACCAGTTGCGATGGGATTGTAGCAACGAAAATTGCCTCCTGACAATGGGCCCAGTCACACCGAATTGACATCTTTCACGGTTTCGTCGCAAAAACTCTTTGAGTTTCTTACCAGAAATTATAGCTGCAAATCCTCAGTCAACATGCGTCAGTCATCATCCGCTGACATTCCGTGAGAAGTACATCCTCAGACGCCACCGCACCCACAAGAGAAATAGCGCAAAACGTTTAATTTGGACTAATTCGAATTGAAGTCTTATCGTGCTTTACCCTAGTCAGCCACTTCTCTCACTCAAAGAATACCACAAGGCGCATCATCTTGTTCCCTCGTCCGTCACTCCCAGTCGCATCTTCGTATTCCGACGGCGGCGACGAGCATATACCCTTACTTCCTCCCCCACAAGTAAGATATCTTGCGAGAAACTTATCAGGGAGACATTGAAGTAAACTCCGCGCGGATAACACCATCGCTCGCAAGGATTGCGTTCTTCTTTCTCTCCTCCCTCCTTTGGAATTTCACTTACATATATAGTAAGACAATACGAAAGCCGGCCGGCCCTATGTTAGATGGCATATATAAATGCAGGTTTCCCACCAACCAATGCTCCCGCGATCTGCAATGAATGCTATTGTGGGAGAGAAATTGAAAGCAGGAACGACCAACCTGAAGTCAACGCAATACTGCTCGTACACCAGTCAGTCTACCTACCACGCCCGGAGCAGCAACATAGACAGCTTGACGAACAATTTCTCCATGTGTACCTGAGAATACTCTCAGGATGCAAGAGAAAGACAACGTTTAAACAATCAAACCTTCCGAGAGACTCGACCGCGAGGATCCCACAACACGAACAGCTGGATCTCAGATGCTCCTGTGCGGAACTAAGGCCATACCATCCAGACCAAGACTCGAGCCTTGATGATTCTGCCGCTCAAAGAAAAAAGACAATCGCATCCCCATCTTTTAACCACCCTCTTCATGCTCCCGAGCACAGCTTCAAACTGCCAACCCCCAATAGGATATATAAACATGACCTTGCTACCATTTCCCTCTCTCGACAAAGTCAGCGGCAATACCGCAGAAGTTGGCGAAATTGAGTCAATAATTTCGCTCTCAACTTCGTTTTCGTGACATGACACCTACTCGAGGGACATCCAGCACCAAAACAACCTTCCCTGTCCCTCCCCTTCGTCCTTCATCACTTTCTCCAACCGAGGGAGCATTCAACCACATCGCCTAAGCTATCACCACAGTAGCCTTGTCCCCCTGGGTTCGAGTACATCAAGGAAAGCCTTGCCTTCCGACCCTTCCCGAGAAGCGTTGAGCATCTTGAAGCTGATTGATCGAAAAGCCTTGCTTGATCTATCCGTGTCCTGTTATTAAGAAAGGAAACTCTCCAAGCATTTATATCAGCAGATATTTCAATTCTTGGAGTATTAACCCATCTCTCGGCGTTGGGACCCCCTAGAGACCAGCCTGCAAGCTGGAAGCCCACCCCCGCGAGCTTCTCTTATCCTTCAATATGCCCCCAACCTACCAAATCTTCCAGGCAGATTCAACCGTTGGACCATTCATATCACCAAATTAGATTCACGCATCACCAAAGCGCATATAGACAATAACTAATCAAGTTTTCCTGTCAAAAATCTGGGTATGCATATTCCTTTCCGACAAGAGACTAGGTATTTGAGATAAGAACTTTGAAAAAAAACAAAAAGACGAGAGAGGTACGCAGAGCAATAGCAAGAGTAAAGCACGTTTGAGAGACAATAGACAAGAGACACTGCGCCGACAAAACACCAAATCCCTCCGCCGCCCTTTGATAAAACTTCCGCCAGGAAATTCCACAAAACTTTCTTTTTTTTTAGAAACCCATCATCTTTCCCTCCCCTTTCTCAAAACTAGTTCCTCGCCAAATACAACTATGAGACGTTTGGTAAGACTTATCGAGGTTTGGACGGGAAACAAGGATCAACAGCTTCGCGACCTAAAGAGGTAGGGAAAATAAACATGAAACAGTGAGCCCGATCTGGACAATAGGTCGAGCATGATATCGTACAGGGGGAGGTTGATTTTGTGTGTGTGGAGGCACAAATCGGATAACATTAAATGTCACCTCGGATTAGCCTCTGCGCGTCTCGTTCGGGACGGGCGACAGCTTGCTGCCCTTGCTCCCTTCGACAACCGCGAGTGCGCCGTTAACGTTATTAGACCTCCAAGTGCGCTGCAGGCAATTGGTGATGTCTCATCTCGTGAACGAGCAGGAACTTGCCTGCCCCCCGAGATTGAGATCTGGCCATCGAACGAGAACGCGCGAGGACCTTTGGTCGGGTATGATCGCCAGCCAGCACCGAACGACCGATATGCTTGCCGAACACCCGCAATATGAACAGCCCTGAGAATCCCAGAGCCAAAAAGCCAAGCACTAGACGCCGCCATGCTGCATAATGATGACATAAAAAAGGCATTACTGAGCCTGGTTGTCCAGGCTCGTATTAGAGCAGAACCTTGATGACGACGTGATCCTCAAGGTTACGCCGGGTTACCCTTCAGCCTCTTTTGCATCCGCGGCGTGGGCGGCTTGCCCTTGTTCTGGACACCGTTCACCTGAGGGCCGCCGGGTGTAGGGGCGGAGGAACCATCTTCTTCCATCTTTACTCCAGAGGGACGTCTTCGCTTGTTGGAAGCCGGAGATGTGTTCGCACTAGGTCCGCTGGAGCTGGTTCCCTGCTGGCTCTGCTGCATCTGCATGCCGGGTGCCTGCATGTGGCCCGGAGCTGGGCTACCGGTGACATGAGGCGACCCAGGAAGCTGCATATGCGGCTGGGCTGGGCTCGCGCCCATTGGGAATTGCCCAAAGCTGGGTGTCCGCGGGCCCTGGCCGGGCATGGCCTGACCGTTCATATTTTGCGGCGCGGAGTTGATCTGGCTGACGTACTGCTCGAGGGCGGCGTACGGGCCGAGGTTGTTGTGAGCATGGCAGTAGGAGAACAGAGGGTTCATTTGGCCGATCACTTCAGCAATCTGCACGTCATCATTAGTGTCGATGATCCGTATGCATGCACGGGTGAGCGACGCTTACCTCGAGGAATTGGAAGACAGCTTCCGTAACGCCCATGCCCCTCTTCACAGCCGATTCTGGCAGGTCCACTAGGGCGTCGGGAGGGGGATGTTGTGGGGACTTCATCATCCTGGCCTTGCCCTTCTTGCTCATCTCCGGAGAGGCTTTGCTGTCTTGGGAGTTCACCTTGTGCCACTCCTTGACCCAGTTATGTACGGGCTTCGCAGCCTCAATGACGGCCTTGCGGGAGATGTATTCTTCGTGGCTGCTTGTCAAGAACTCGAAGAGTTCAATCTTCTGCTCTGCGTCGAAATGAGCTCGGACGGTACCGTTTGCGACAAGCTATCCGAGTTAGTATTGGCATCACAGAGAGACGGAACCAGACTTACGTGAGAGCCGTTATCGAACCAGTAAACTAGACTCGACTTGGTGTTCTCAATCCAGTGGCCATCCCCAGGCAGCGGTCGATCCGTGGTGCCCTTCTCCATGATCAATTGCATGTTCTTGACCCCACTGTCGAAGTGCGTGTGGAAGTATCGTGGGAGCGCGGGGTATGTGATTTCGTATTGCTTGTCGGCTTGATCTTCGATGTCGGTGATGTGGACAGAGTGACGGAAGACACCCTTGGTGGAGAAGAATTGGTTCACGAACATGTTCCAGTACGTGAGGTCGTCCTTGCCCTTAGATCCCTAAAAGTCAGTCAGCACGATGCCTGCGGTAACTTTCAAATGCGACGTACAGTAAAACCGCTCAAGTGTTCGCTGAACTGCATGAGCTTCAGCAAGCAATGTCCCTTCATTCCTTCCCTCCTTTGCTGCTGGGCCTGCTGCGCGAGAGCCATGCTGTTGGCCATGGCGGCCTGAGCGGCAGCAGCCTGCTGTGGGTTCACCTGAGGTTGTCCAGGCTGAGGTTGCATTTGAGGGGGGCCTTGCGGTTGAGGCTGAGTCTGGGGAGGCTGCGGCTGTTGATTCGGTTGTGGACCTGGTGTTTGCGAGGGAGTGGGTTGACCAGCAGATTGCGGGTTGACAGGCTGCGCGGGCTGCTGCTGCGGTGTCTGTTGAGGGGTTTGCTGGGGCTGAGGTTGCGGCTGCTGAGGTTGGCCTGGAGGTTGCTGACCCTGTTGTTGTTGCTGCTGCTGTTGCTGCTGCTGCTGAGCCTGCGCCTGCTGTTGTTGCTGCTGCTGCTGCTGTTGTTGCTGTTGCTGCTGGGCCTGCTGCTGCTGCTGTTGCTGAGCTTGCTGTTGCGCTTGCATCGAGGCAGCCATCTGCGCCTGCTGCAGCTGCATGTGTTGAGGGTTCATCTGGACTGGCTGACCGGGCTGCTGGCCTTGTTGTATCTGCTGGTTCTGCTGCGCGACAGCCTGCTGCTGGAGAGCGATCTGCTGTGCCAACATCGCCTGGGCCTGGGGAGTATGCGCCTGCTGTAGATTTTTGTCAACATTCTGGTCACCCGCGCGGGCGCGCTATACATACTGGCCGCATGCCCTGCCTCATGGCCGCCATCTGGGCCGCCATCTGGGGGTTCATGGGCATGCCCATAGGCATGCCATTGACACCCATGTTCGCGTTGAAGGCTTGTTGAGCCATGAGCGCCTGCCTAGCCTGCTGCTGCTGCTGGAATAACCTCTGCTGCGCCATTTGGGTGGCATGCGCCATCGCGGCCGGGTTGTTGACTGTACGTCGAGGTCAGCGGGGGGAGGAACATAGGACGAAAGGGGACGCGGAGAGCCGTCAAACATACAATTCTGGGCGAACTGGTTCTGCTGGAACATTGGGTTCTGGGGGTTGAGGTGCTGCAAAGCGTGAGCGTTCGGACCACCAGCACCCGGCGGCATGCCGCCCATCAACTGGTTTGGATTGACCTGACCACCAGGCCCTGATACCGCCATGTGCATCTGGTGAGGCATTCCACCACCCGGCGGGCCTTGCTGATTTGGGTTGTGAGGCATACCCGGGCCCATGGGATGGCCTGGGACGCCTGGATGTTGTTGCATGCCGGCAGGATGACCTGCAAACGATGGTCCCATACTCGTCATCATGTCTTCAGCGTGTCGATAATCCACGGCGTGGATATCGACGTCTCTTCCCTCCGCACTATCTCATGCGCCTGCAGAAAACACCCGAACGTGGCTCTCGTCTCGAATAGAAATGGGCAATCGGCGGCCGCGAAGCAAAGCAAACACGAGGGCGTTGCGGGCGTGGTGGGATGCGAGCGTGGGAGTTTGGGTTGCGATGGCGCGACGCGAAGAAGCGATGGGGGCAGCTGGCGTTCGGGATTTACGAGACGCGGGAGAGTGGTCTCTCAATCGCGCGGATGCGGGTTGCGTGGGCTGGCGGGCTTCGACTAGCGTTATCGGGGTTTGCGATAGGAGAGCAAGTCGTTTTTTGCCCGTCGTGATGGTGCAAGTTTTGGGCGGCCGGGTCAACAGGCGAAAGGGGACCGAGAAGGCATCGATGATCGACGTGGAGGACGGAGGACGGAGGACGGGGGCGGGAAGAAGGATAATTTGGGTAGGGAAGTTGGTCGGGGATGCGACGACAAACAAAAGAGCTGGATGGGAAAGGGTTCGGGGAGTGGGTGGGTGCGACTAAGGCAGCCCGATGACGGGGGAGAAGGGTGCTGGGCCTGGGACTGGGAAGCCTGCGGGAGGAAGAGTGAGAGAGAGGGAATAGGTGTGCGTGTGTGCGAGAGTGGAAGAGCCCGAGCTGCTGGAGCGAGAGAGACAGAGAGGTAGGTAGGTAGCGAGACAGACTGACGGGCGACGAGCGAGTCGGGGGGTCGGAAAAAAAGCGTGGCGTGGCGACGGAGAAGGTAAAATGGAGTTGTTGGTTTATCGCAAAGGTAAAGGTTTCCGGGGCCCGTACAGGCAGAGCAGATACAGTAGAAAGAGAGTGTGCGAGAGTCAGAGATACGACGACGTGGTGTCGAAGGGTCGCGAGATAGCGGGAGCGAGGTGAGGCGAAGCGAGCGGACAGACTCAGTGGGTTGAGAGGTCTCGTGAGAGAGTGAGTGGGTGGACGGAAAAAGACGACGAGGCCCAGAGCCTTTTTCTTTTTCCTTCAGCACGCAGGCGCAGACGTCGTCGACGATGACATTCGCGGCGGCGGCGGGTTTATGTTGTAAGATATCCAACAAGCCCGATATTTATTGCACACGTCGAGAGACCGGGAGACAGCGAGAGATGAGCACTGCAATGTGCTGCGCTGGCGAGCAGGAACAAGCCTTTTTTTCGCGCGTCGCCTTACCAGGAAGACGGGAGAGTGAGCGAGATGCGGTACAGGTCCAGAGGTAAGGTACTAGCTATCTGGACCTGATGAATTGCGGATTTTGGGGGGTCGAGTGGGTTGGGCTGGGTAGCGTGGTAAGGTTGGCAGCAGCGTGGCAGCGTATCCGTAGCGCGTGCGGTGCCAGCGCGCTGGGGTCGGCTGGCTGTCCGTCTGTCGCTGTCTGTCTGGCTAGCCGGTGGGCTGGAGAAGGGACGCAAAGACTCAAAGTGGGCTGCCCGAGCTTCTTTTCCCCTTGTCCACGTCTTTCTTGCTCAGCGGGCAGACAGCGAAACCGAAAGTCCTATTCCTTCCGTTCGTCTTTTGGGTGGGTGTCGTGTAAAGCTAACGTGGTCCTCTTGTGTCTAAAACGCAACACGGGACGAAGTTGACGTTCGGAACCCCGAAAGAACAAAATGAAGCCAAACACATCAAAAATTCACAGACAGAAAAAATTTAAATTAAGGAATTAGACACTCGACCCAGGGGCGCTGATTGGAGGGGGCGCTCAACGTGGTGTTGCAGACAGGTTGCAGCGTCACAGAGAGCTCTCCCTACAACACCTACCTGCTAGGAGACAGCAGACAGCAGACGACAGAGAGCACAGCAGATGGGTGGATGGCTGCTCGGGCTGGGGAAACAGGAACAGAGCAGGGACGGCAAGGAAGCGCGAGAGGTGGGCGGGCGGCCAGCATGCCAAACTGCCAATGCCAGACGCACCTCCCAGCCCGAACCCGCCCTTTGCCCTCTTTGGATGGGAAAAGCGGGCTTCTATTCCATTATAGCGGTACGCTATGTATCTATCGAGCACAGCATGCATGGATATGCCGGAATTCGGTGGCGGGAAGCTCCATTTAAACGCGGGAATATGCCTCTATCCACAACGGCCGGCGATCAGGCGGCTTATGCATCAAGAGCAAAGCAAGCTTTGTCTTTCTTCAGCGACCCGCGCGTCCCAAGGGGTTGAAGCATCTGTCGCAAAGCAGGAGGCAGGAGGTTCTGCCTTGTCATGGTCACCGACGGGGGCAGCGCAGCAGCAAGGCAAGGAGAGAAAAAAAAATGCCTCCCATCCTCCCCGTTCATTAGATGACAAATGGCCCTCGCAGAACAGACCGCTGGAATCGCGTCGTCTTGCCCTATCCGTTTCTACCTTTTGCGTCCCTCAATGGCAACCACGTGTTCCCCGAACCACCCGGACACACACCATTCGCACATTCTGTCTCTCGCTGTCTTCCCTCATCGAGTCCTCTCATCGTCTGGTGACATGAACCCAGAGAGGGGGCCGCGCGGGATCCAATCAGCTTACCTCATTTTGGGGGAAGCGGGGGATCCATTGAGTCCCCAGTCCCAGACATCGGCTCCTCGGCGCTAATCTCCGATCGAAATCACATGACCTTCGGTCTAGAGCTGATTGTCCAAGCCGACCACGTGACACCCAATCTTTCCTCCCCCAAGCAGATTTCTAGACCAAAGGCCCGTGCCCCAGAAAAATTTCGACCGAACCTGGCCCCACAATTCCCATCGTGAGCCGCATCTATAAAATCTCTTCCCTCGCATCACAAGCTTCATTCCTTTCCCCATCATCCAACGCCATACTTCCTCTCCAACGCCAACCCGGCCAGCGCAGGCCTCGATCGCTCACACCACCTGACAAGGGCTCAATGCGGAGCAGATCAGAGAGCGTTCGGGCTTCCTGCGCTGCGCCTCCTACTAACAGGTAAGCCACCAGCAAAATTTCCCTTCATACACACATCCCCAAAAACTCCGAATGATGATATTATATCAACATGTCTTCTTTTCCCAACCGAATCGACCATGAAGAAGTCTAGTCTACTCGGGCACTCCGTCGCAGGAGAGCCTGTTACTTGCCAGTAATCACTATCTGACACTTTCACCTTCACCATCACTTTGCAGCAAAACTCGGATTTTGAGCATTCTCGCTGACAACGTGTAAAGAACAGGAAAAACTTGCATCGCGCACTTCGCGTATGAGAAACCATCAATGGCCCCTGCTCTAGAAAATAAAAACCATTACTTCATACTCTGTTGCTTCAATCATGACCCATGTGCCTGATCAAATGAGTGTGACTACTGACCCTTCGAGTTATGTGCTTTGAAACTCTTCTGGGGGTTTTCTCGGATCTATCTTTGCGATCCAGATCTCTGGGATCCAGCAGATCCAGCATCGTCCATAAGCTCCAGTTGGCACCGTGACTCGTAGTATCAAGACCTCAACGAGGTTGGCGTCCTTATCGTCCATGCCTTGCGGCAGAGGACGTCCTCACCAATCACTTCACGATAGAGGACGTCCCCTGAACATCATCTCAATTCAAGACCGCATCCCCAGCCAGCAGCCACCTTCCTAACCACGCACCATCTCACATCACATCACCTTACATCACCTCACCTCGCCTCAAATCACATCACATCACATCAAATATCCAAACCAAACAAATCATTCTTTGTGGAATAATCTCGAATTTCATCTATGCCAACCATCCCCAACTGCCATGCATCCCAAAAAGAAACACTCCCAATGCCCACCCCGCAAAATCCCATAAAACAAAAAAAGAGGTAATCGCTCTTTCTTTTCGCGAGGTATATCCCGTCACGGGGGCCGTAGCCATACACCGTGTGTTTTGTTTTTGCAACTTTCATCAAGAACGCCAAGCAGAACGAATGACAAGTAAGGCGCGCTGCGACCGCGCGCCCTCTGTGAACCACCCCAATAACCCACCAAGTCCATTCCCTCTCCTAAATCACGCGCAAACCTTCCCGTACAGACTCGGGGATATCCCGCCGCCTGCCTCCGACGATGCCGCGGCGGTTCCTACCCGTCCGCCCCCTGCCGAGCCAGTTGAGCTTGAGCAGCCGGCAGAGCTCCTCCATCCGCCTGTTCCCCTCGTCGTTGCCGTCTCCCGCGACGTCCCCGAGGCTGGCGAGGATGCTCATGCATTGCAGCATGCGGCCGACCATCTCCGTGACCTGCTTCGAGTCCTCGACGTTCTGCTCACGGGTAAAGGGCCGGAGTTGCCCATCGCTACCAGCACTGGCGTAGCTGACGTTGCTGAGACCCCGACTGCGTCCACCGGCCCCAGAGCTTGCATCGCCTAGTAGGGTCGTCGCGTTGGAGTTGTAGCTTGCCACAGACGGGTCAAGGCTCATTGCGGTCCCTGGGCGCATCATGCTCATGGTGTCGGCGGGGCTGGACGAGAGCGCAGGATCCGGGAGGGGAGAAGCGAGTGCCATTGAGGCAAATGACGAAGGCAGGAATTCGAGTGAGAGACGAGAGAATATTGTCTTGAGTGATTCGTACCGGGGGAGGATGACAATGTCTCGATATGCGGTCAGGACGATGCGGCGAACGTCGAAGACGGCCGAGGCCGGTCTTACATGCGGTGCATCGGTAGACATCGGAGCCGCCTTGACGCCGCCCCAAAAGTCGCGGGCCTGGTCCGGGTTCATGAGGACACCGCAGCCGGAGAATTCGAGATCCAAGGGAAGGAAAACGGCCTGCATGTATGGCAGAATCGAGGTGTAGGTGATGAGCCACATCTCCACCAGCGCCGGAATGACCTTGTCTTCTTGGGTGCGCCTAAGTGTGTGGTCCAATGAGGCAAAGCCGGTCGCAAGAAGTTCGCGCAGGTCCTCCAGAATAATATTCGGCGATCTGCGCTGGATGCAGTATTGTATGTGCAGTGTCACCAATTTGTTGAAGTCTTCCACGGGCTGTCGCAAATCTTCGCCTTCAAAGATGACGAGCATCTTCGCCTTGAGATACGGCCATGCATCATCGAGCGCCATGCTGTTGAGGCCGTATTTGCCTGCATCAATTGGTTCTGAGAGATACGACGACTGGTGCGTCAGACTTGGCAGACTGCTTGGCCCAGGCCATTCTGATGGAAGAGAACTCGATTCGACGCCGAGGCCGCTGCTCTCCTTTTCAGTCTTTTTGTCCCGACGTCCCTTGCCAAACGACGTTGCAGTCGGGGCCGGACTAGGGGGTAAGTTGAAACTGTATAAACTCGACGGGGCACTGGGGTCTGTGGGTTTCGAGTTGCTCGATGCGGACGACAGCGGGAGGTGGAATTCGTCCTTGAGCTTGTGCTTCTGCCGCGACAGAAAGTGATGCTTCTTTTCCTTTTCTCGCCCTTCTGGCTTCTCCATGGTGGGCGTTTCGGGCACGGCGCGGATGGTTGCAGAAGACGAGTTATTGAGATTGTAGATGGACTGGCCGCTGGTATCGATCAGACTGCTGGTGCTGAAATTACCGCGCTGTAATGATGCGAGCGCGCTGCCGATCTTGCTAGGGCTCGGGAGCGGTTTGTCCTTGGGATCGCCCTTGGTGCCGATCTTGACAGGGCGGGAGAAGAGCTTCACCTTGGACTTTTCTGGCTTCGCCGGTTTCGGATCGGGGATGAGTTGCGGCGGGGGATGAACAGGATGGACGGAGTGAACTGGGCTATGCTGTGACTGTTGGTGGGCGATGTGCTGCTGCTGTTGTTGAGGCTGTTGCTGCTGAGACTGAGATAGACCCGGTGATGTCTGCCCCGACCGTGGAAAGGCGGCGTTCGCTGCTGTCGTCGCGGCCGAAGTACCCAGCAGGCCGTTGTGGTATCCTTGGTTCCCAAAACCACTCTCTCGTGGAGCGCTGGCCTCTGTCAGGCTTAGCATAGGCGGGCTGAGTGGGCCCCTCGCGCCGCTTCCCCTCCTCACGTTGTCGACGGCGTCGCCGCCGTTCGGGTTCGGTACGGTCTGCGACCGCTGTCGAGCGTGCTGTAGTTGTTGCTGGTTCTGCTGGTTGCTCTGGTGCTGCAGTACGGCAGCTTGTGCCGCGATCTGGCTGGCTGAGAGGGCCGGACTCGATTGCTGGTGGTGGTGATGTACCTGGTGCTGGTGTGTAGACGACGATGCGACGGAGGCAGGCTGTGACATGCCCACCTGGGAGAGATTCGAGGTGCTCGTTGACGGGAGGGTCGAGTCGAAGAGGCCGGGCGTCTGGCTATGTTTCCTCGAGTGGCCTTTCGTCAAAGGGCTCGCGGTGCGGGCGGCGGCGGATGCGATGTGGGTGTTGACGCTCAGGTCATGGTTTCTGCCTTCGCTTGCCCCTCCTCCTGCTATGGGACCTGCTGGTCCTCCGGGTGTGGTGCCGGATCGCTGGGCGGTCGGGCGCGAGAAGTTCTGCAGGCTCGCGGTGCTCGAGTTGGCCTGGGAAGTGAACTGGGCATATATCGGCGTCGCGGAGGAGGGGGCGGTGGGCGCGCTCGGTGCGTGGCTCCGGGGCTTGACGAAGTGTATAGCGAGATTCTCTTCGCTGCTCGAGGAGTCGGCGCGGGCGGGAGGTCGTGGACGTTGCTGCGGCGGCGGTGCGCTGGAGGAGGAAGCTGTCGAGCCCGGCAGAGGGCTGAAGCTGCCCGGCGCTCGGGGCGGGGGTCGTGCTGGTTGCATTGTCGTGGATGTGTTAGGGGTCTGTTACATCTTGGGAGAGTTGGGACGATTCAAGATCGGGCGGCCCTCGAAGGTTTGTTTGCTGAGTTGCTGTCGACAGCAGGGGTGGTGGGTGGTTGTGTTGGTTGTTCGTCTCTTGGTGGGTGAGGTGAGGTGAGGTGAGGTGGGCGAGGTGGGAGTAGTTGAAGGGTGCGAGGGCGCTGGCAGAAGCGAAGTGGTGATGTAAGAGGGTCGAAAAATACGAGGTCAGGGAGGAAAGAAGGAAGGGTGGTGGTTATGAGCGATCCAATACCACGAGTGGATTTTGATTGCGTCCAAGGGCTTCAAGGGCCTCAAGGGCGGCCGTGTGAGATAGACAGGATCGATTGGGGGAATTGATGCAGGATAATCGACAAGGTAGTGTATCCCGTCTGCACAACACCAGGCCAGGCCAACCCTCGTCTGGGTCGTCTCGCGTGCGCCTTAAAGCAAGTCTGGCTCGGGTGTAAGCAAGCAAGATGCGGGCTATCCTTCCTATCGATATCAGCCCGGATCCAATCCAATGCACCTCAGAGTACGGATAAGCGACCCGTTGCCAAGGGGAAGCCGGCCGACGTTTTCGTTTGCGGTGAAGGACCGACGCCCTGGACGGCTGAACCAACCCAAAACCAAGGCACCGCGACGACTAACAGCATCCCCCGCTCTTAGGTGCTCACCCCAGCCCCTTGTGCTGCTGGATCACTGGCACCGCCGCCGGGTTGCGACCCTGGCCTTCGCTAGCCTGGCTGGTGGGTGTCTAGGCCATGCCGTTTCGGTGCTAAAATCCAGCAACAGGTGAAGGTAACCCCGCAGCGTCATTGCGCGCAAGAAAAAAAAAAGACAGTCCCCATCTTCAGCGGAACATTGAGGACCACCACCACTGGAATGGAGGGAGCCGCACCCGCAAAGCCGCACAGCGCCAGATTTTCGTCATAATTGATTTTCCCATGCTTCCTTTTTCCGACCCCTCCCCCTCCAACGACACACATCACGATCGCCCTTTCTCGCCAACCCCCTTCCCCTGCCCTCGTCCACGCTCCCCTAACTTGACACTCCCGTCGCTCGTCCAAACTACGAAACTTTGACGTACCAACCGTAACCGACAAAACCATGGCAGCAGAAACAAACGGCACCGCCGCCGCTCCGGCCCTCCAGTTCACGGCGACCTACAAGTCCCCCGCCAACGACCCCTTCACCCACTCAGAGTCCATCCCCGCCCCGCCGACCACCGGCGTCCAACACAAGACGGCCTACCTCAAGTCCCTGCGCGAAGCCATCAACAACGCCCAGGAGAGCATCAACAAGGAGCTCACGGCGCGCATGGAGGAGGACAAGGCGCGTGAGGCCGGCAAGAACGGCTCCAAGACCGCCGTCGACGAGGCACTCGAGGAGGAAAACTACGGCGAGGAGGCGCCTCCCAACGACGACTGAGAGAAAGGAAGAGAGCAAGAGAGAAAAACTTTGAAGCTACGAAAAACGAACGCAACGCCTCGTTTCAGAGCGCCATCGTACATTCTTTGCCACCTTATATACGGGGTATTGCTGTATCATGCTGCCGCTTCCCCATTTGCCCTGGCTATGCAAATACCAATATGTACGAAGGAAACCAACTCCCAGCACCAATCAACCCGGCTCCTCCTACTCCTACAGCACACCCCTTACGAAAACCTACGAGCCCAACTTCCCGCCCGCGAGCTCTGCGGCCTGTGCGACGCCGTCTTGTTCGAGCAGCCGTAATGGACGACGCTGTTATCGGGCAATACCGAAATGACGGTGCTGCCACCGAGCCTCTTGTGGCACACACCGCAGAGGCGTTCCTCCGTGATCACCACTCTTCTATTGCGTCCGCCTTGCCCACCAGGAATTCCGTCACCGAGCACCAACAGGGCTTGCGTAGATACCAGCTCCGTGTCTCGCAACCGCGCAACAATGCGCGACTCGTTCACCACGCTGTTGGCAGACCTGATCCTGCCTCGGAAGTAGGATTCAAGGTCTCGGACGGGAAGGTCATCGGGGATCAGCGAGAGGGTTGAGGCTGCTGGGAGACGTGAACCGTGCCTTGAGAGAAGTTCGAGTGCTGGCGCATGGGCGGGTTTGTGAGGTGGCGGCGGCGTCAGGTACAAAGAGAGTAGTGTGTGGTAGATTGATGGTGTCGAGTCCTCAACGTCGCCGGCCGACGACGGTCTCCGCGATCGATCCGGGGACCGTGATCGGTCTGGCGACGACGACGCAGACTCCTTTGACTTGTGCACCATGTTGCAGTACCTAGGCAGGTTAGCCAATGCAAAGACGTTAAATAAGGCAATACTTACTCTTCGGCCTTCGCATAATTCTTCATTTTGAAAACGTAAATTTCCAATGCCTGCTTGTGCGAACCCATGTTACTCAGCACGACAGCTTGAGCTTCATAAAAGGCCGGATCTGCATCACGTCAGTAACCATCAAGTCCGGCAAACAGTGGTCAAACGTACCGTCTCGCGGGATGAGACCAAATGCCTTGCTAAGACTATATTGCCCACTTGTTTTGAGGAACGCAACGAAGCGTTCCATTTCTGCATCCCACTCGTCATCCCTCTTCTTCTCCTTCAGCTGTCTGATGAACAACTCCGCTAGACGGTTGTGGAAGTCTGGGGTCGTATCATCTAGCTCGTTGATGATATGCTCCAAGTACTGGACCTCCAATGAAGGGTTGATGCCGCCCAAGAAGCGGGCTACCCGGCCACGGGGCAAGGTCTCCGCGTTCTCAGAGTCAGCAATGAATATCTCCATGGCCAACTTTGGATCCGCCTTCAATACCCATTCAGAGTACTGGAGAATCAGATCAATCTCTGACGGCGGCAGGTTTTGAAGATACATCACCGTCCGCTGGGGGCCATGCAGAGCAGGGGCGGTCTCGTCGGGCTTCTCGGCGGTTCCAAAGCGCTTGAGAAGCTCCAGCGCTTGAGAGTGAAGCTTCTTGCCGCTGAAGAAGTCCACAAGCTCATTGTATCTGTTATGAGCGAGAAGCGCTTCATTTACCACATCTGGATCGCAAAAGTTGGGCAGTCGGAAGAGAGATCCGGCCAGAGAAGGGCTGGTCGTCATATATGTTCTGAACAAAGCCGTGTCAACCATCCTTGAAGTTCTCAGCAGCTCTCCCTCCAGTTGGCTTCCCGTCTCCTCTCCATGGACTGGTGACATGAAGCCCTTCATCGCGTCTTCGGTCGAGCCATTGGTGTTTGATCGCTTCAGCTTGCCGGTACTGGGGTCAAGCACACGTTGTAGGCGTGTTCTCGTTCCAACCAAGTAACCAGCCAGCGTCCTGACTGCTGCCAGAAGATCGTCGCCTTCAAGAGGTTTGTCTTCCGCCAGCCTTCCCTTGGTGCTGTCGGTTTCTTCAACGTCCAACGCATTGCTCTTAGATATGATGGAAGCCGTGTCCGACTGCGGCGGTGCGGGTGCCTGTTTTCGTCCCATGAAAAGCTTCGCAAAGCCAACACCACCGCCCCTCGCTGGGGAAGCTGGGCTCTCGCTGGGTTCGTCCTTAACTGTCTTGTCACCATTGGTTTTTTCATGGACTTCTTCCTCGCCATCTCTCTCGTCACTGCCCGATTCCTCCTGAGCACCATGCGCCCATCCGGACATCTCACCCGCGATCGAAGGCGGGAAGAGCTTCAGTACGCGCTCAGGCGGGGCGTGCACGTCCTCTTCGTTGAACAAATCCATGGCGTCGTAGTACTTTTTCTGTTTGAAGAGCATCTCAGCTTTGAGCATCTTCACCTCCCGCAGAGTCTCCGTCTTATTGCGCAATAGAGCATCTTCGAGCATGTTCAGAATACTGATGGCCTCGTCGTATTTGCCCTTTTCGACCAGCTCGTCAATTTGCGAGTCGTAATCGGCGGCACCCATCCTCCACACACATCGATCGCTAGAAATGTGGAATCCCTTGCCTGCATGCGCCAGACTGAGATTGGGTGGTGGAAGGTGAAGCTGCGCCGCACCGGGGAGAGAGATGGTCTGTAACAGCGACAATGTCTCTGGATTCCTCACTTCCAGCGAGCCTTTCGAGGGTGCCTGCAGAGCTAAAATGTAGGGATAAGAATATCCAATCTGCTCCGGCGCCGCTTGCCATGGTATCTGCCGTTTCTCAATCGGTTTGCCTTCGTCGGTGATAAACATCGAGTTGATATCCTTGGCCAACAGTAGCTCGCCTTCGGACAGCTTCGCCGCAAGGGGTTTCGGCATGTATCCTCCCAGACCCATGTATCCCATACCCGCGCTGCTGACCGCTCCGAAGCGGCTGGCTTGTTGACCCGACGTTGCAGAGCCCGGGCTGATGATATCCTCAACCTCTTGACTTATAACATCGACCATGACATAGCCAGCGTTCATGCCGCAGACAATCTTCGTCGCGCTGGCCCACGTTATAGTTCGTATTGATTCCGGCAGGGTGATCTCGCCGACGTCGGGGCTAAGCTCGCTCTGCTGCCAGCTCCATAGCAACAGCCGCCGACGGACGGCAACGGCCATGCGGCTGATGATCTCCGGTATGCCAGTAGCAGCATCTTTCACGATGTTTGAGGTTACGGCGAAGCAGGTGGCATTCTTCGTTCGTTGAAGCTGCTCGATCGGCTCGTAAGTCTGCAGGTCGTGCAACGAGACGTAGTAGTTGGACAGCGATACGATGGTAGTAGCTTCTTTGAGAATAGCAAGCTGTTCGATCGCCCTGGTCGAGAATCTATCTATCTCACGCAGCAGGTCCGTCGGTTTCTGCGGCGGTTGGGCGGTGTTGAGGTTGTTGTTGTTGGCTGCCGGCGGTGGGCTCGTCGCGGAGGGCTGGGAGCCATTGGCTTGGGTCGGTGACGGAGGGGGCAGCTCGTTTAGGCGGTAAATGCGGAGGGCACCGCTGTTGAGGCCGACGAAGACGCGGTCGCCTGTGAAATAATATGTGAGAGGGGGGCGTCATCACGCAGGAGGCGGGCTACGTTTGGGGCAACGACGCACCATGCGCGAGGATTGTCTCAATCTTGGACTTATCCCGCTGCTTTAGCTCTATGATCGGCCGCGCTGTAAATGCTGAGAGCATGGCGACTGCCGGGCCGCAAGGCGAGTGTGTGAAATATTCAGTATACCGTCATCAGTAGGGAGGTTCGTCTTGTTTGCGCCGGTTCGTCACTGCAGCAGAGAAGCGTTCATGATGGCGCGCGCGGGAGAGATGTTGGAGCTTCGATTCGGGTATGGCTGGATGCTTGTTGCTGGTAAGGTAGGTAAGGTACGCCGTAGTCGTCGGCCGTACGTCAGGACGAAGTCCCCACAAGGGAGCCGATGACCTCTTTTGCCGCCTGTTTGGGACTAGCGCCGCTGCTACCCTTCCACTTGAAGCAGCGAGTCTCCACCTCCTTCAACATCTGTTGGGAACAGCTGCTGATTGGCCGGTGGTACATCGGGATTTGCTGTACATCCGTCACATGCATTAAGGCACTTTACTTTCGACTGCAGCTTGAATGAAGCTCCAGCTATTGAAGAAATGTTTGGATAGATGAATAACTTGAAATTGCACGCTGCTTCGTAGGAAATATCTCGACACGCCATTCTAACTTTCCCTCGAAACTATGCGCTGCATATGTGGCAGTCGCAAGGAAATAACCAAATCAAGCCCAGTGCTATCTATGCCAGTATCTATGTGCTGAACTCATCCAAGAACCAATATCTCCGAGTTCATGATCCCCTTTTCCGAGTGTCCGCAAAACAAAAACGATGCCAGACGCACCGTGACACGTGTATGAACGAGCATGTGTATGTGAGAAATGTGTACGGGATAGCCCTTAGTCTAGTCCAGCGACCCTCATCAGCCCGTATCCAAGGGTCACAACGACAGCCAGTGTGAGGATACTGCTGGGAACACCTCTGCTGATGAAGTGCTTCACTTGGAGATATCTCTGGCCGGTCGGATCTTCCTTCATGATGGCAGCTACGAAGGGTTAGCTCTGGTCCAAGGCAAGGATTTCGAAGTGACTTACTCATGTTGGGGAATCCGCTGGTAGGCAATCCCATAGCGGCACTGCACATTAGCACACCACCCATGACGAGCAGGTTGGGGTGAGGCTCGTCCATGTTGCTGCCGACATCGAACACCAGAGGCAAGATGATAAGAGCCGCGACCGTGTGGCTGATGAAGGTGGCAATGATGAGAATCAGGGACGAGAACACAACAAGAACTCCGTAGAGGCTCATGCCCTCGACCTCCTTGGTTACCACGCCGGCGATGGTGTGCAGCAGGCCAGATGACTTGACCGCCTTGCCCAGAGCCAAGCCTCCAGCAGCCAGGATAATGATGGTCCACGGGAAGTTGTTGAAGTCTTCCTTGGTCAGAATACCAATACCAAAGAACAGGACGATGGGGATGATGGCAATGACACCCATGTCTCCGAAGACGCCTTCCAACTGATGGCTGGCGCACCACAGACCGATTGTGACAATCGTTACGATGGAGACAAAGTACTGAATGCCGGTGAACTTCTCCTTCACAGGACGAATGGGGGCAATTGTGGTTCCCTTGCTTGGCTGGAAAGTGATGAGAAGCAGAACCCAGATCACGAGTAGCGAGACAACGCCAACGGGAATGACAATGAAGAACCACTGGATCCAGGTAGGCGCCGGCTTCATGATTCCAACAGCAACCACGTTCTGCGGCGATGCGATGGGCGACAGCATGCCACCAATGTTGGAGGCAAGCGCAATACCCATGATGACCGCCTTGGACATGTTGGACTCAGAAGGCAATGTGCGCAGCATTGGCTGGGAACAGTGTTAGTAAGACTCACGTTTGTGCCAGGTAATTTGGACTAACCTCGATAATGGAGAAGCAAAGGACAGGGGCAGCAACGTTGCTAATCAGCATACTCGCGAAAGCGGCGACCAGCATGTTGGCGATGAGGACCGTCCGGGGGGTGGTTCCCGCCTTGCTCAGAACAAACGTGGCAAGTCGCTTGTCAATCTTGCACTTAGACAACGCCGCCGCCAAGGTGAAACCACCCAGGAGAAGCATGATGACGGGTGTCCACATGGCCGAGAAGATGTACGAGGTAGCAGCCTTGGAATCAAGCCTCCTATGCGGCTTGTCCTCTGAGCGAACGACAGTCAAGACAACGCAGAGGAAGGGGATCATCAGCGAAGTCACGAATAATGGAATAGCCTGTGAAGTGTGTTAGCTCTGACTCGCTTCACTCTGTGACCATCGAACTCACCTCCGTAGCCCACAAGATGCTGACGAACACGATCAGTGCCAAACAGTTTTGCTGCTCAGGCTTCTCCATGATGGGAATGAAGAGGAGCAGAAAGAAGATGACAAACGCAATCAGAAGGGTAAGCAAGGGCGTGCTGGCCACCCAGGTCGGGACGACGAAGCGTCCCACGGGAGTAACCACCTCCTTTGTGACGGGGGCGAGCTCGTCATCTCCTTGGAGTCGTCGAGCGCCGGATAAACCGTCTCTACCCAGCAGGGTTCTGCCCAAGCTGGCAGCTTCAGCACGGCGCTCCATACCGATCATGTCTCTCCAGACAGTGTTCCGCTCCCAGACGACATGTTCGCGGAGGTGAGACCGCAGATCTCTCTTGGCGAGGTTCTCGTCGCCATTGGTGACAACCTCAGCGTATGCCTTTTCCATCTTGGAAATGTTCTCTTCGATCGTCTTGATGCTCTCCACCTTGAAGGGGTAGGCGGAATCGACGTGGGTGCTCATGTACTTGGGGCGCAGCTCCCTGTCCACGATCTTGTCGAATTTCTTCAACACCTTGCGGAAACCCGTTCTGTTGAGCTGCACGTACGACTTAAGCTCACAGAGCTGGACATAGAGGCTGATGATACGCTTCTTGAGCATGATGCTCGACGAGTAGAGGAAGGACTGGTCCGGAATCTCGTCCTGCGTGGTGCTGTAACGTCGTAATGATCTTCCCAGCGTCAGCTCGGTCGACGCCGTCAGCTCAGTCGTGGAGTGGCCGAGGTTGGGAGCTGTCTTGCGCCTGCCTCCACCAAGGCTGGACCGGCTCTTTGTCAGACCGGTGGTCTCGTCGTCGTCCTCATCGTCATCGCTGTCGTCCATGTTGCCATCGATCGACTCGGATCTTCTGCCGTTGGTCCCCGGCATGCCCGGTCGGTGTCCGCTGCCGAACGACCGTCTAGGCCCACCGTTCTCCTCCTCATCTTCCGAAGAGAAGTTGCCGACGTCGCCAAGTAGCTGGTTGACCTCGTCCAGAAGCTCGCCCTCCTTGGCTACGTAAAAGGAGCAAATCTTCTCCAGCTCTACGCCGAGGGCGCGGCTGAAGACGTCTTCCGGTTCTTCATTTCGGATGAGGGGTCTCGATTCCGCGTCGCCTGCGCTCGTCTGGTGGACGGTCTTCTCGAGCTGGTAGATCCTACGGCGAGTCATTAGTCATCTGAGACCTCGGGGTACGGTTGGGGAAGGCATTGAGATCTCACAGCTTCTTGAGGTTGCTGTAGGCAATGTAATGACTGCTCCAGTCCGGAACAGCATTAAACTGGATGCTGTGGGAGAACTTCATGTCGTCCTGCTGCTCGAGCCACTGCTTCTTCCAAAGTCTCTTCTGTTCGCGCCGGGCGGCTCGGTCGTCGGCGGTCTTGCGCTCGGCAATGGGCTTGTAGTCGTCGAGCTCGAAGCTCTCGGTGTCTGCAACGGCGGTGCTATGGCTGTTGGCGGAACTCCCTCCCCGTTCCCGAAGGCCTGATGATGTGTTATCGAGGTCAATGAGAAGTCCTGGCGGCGCAGAGCCTGGTTGATGGGTAGAGGAGGGATTGCTTTGGGGTGCCTGGGGCGGTATGGTGGCAGAATGCGGTCGCGTGCGACTTCTTATCGGGATGGGGTATCGCGATGCGCGCGGATCAGGGTACTTAGGCGTGCTGGATGGTGTTTAAGCTACGGGCTGGAATAGCATCCCGCGTTTTCGTGGTGGCTGCAACACGTGGGGAAAGCGTTGGTCGTCCTGTCTCCCAGCTTGTTGAAAGAGCCGCGTGACGATGTAATTGGTTTCATTTGGGCCTAGCGCAATCCAGCTCCACGGGTGCCACGTCCTTGCGATTAGTGTCGTTGCGATTGGTTGCAGGTCGCTCGGATGGAGCAGAAATCCATCTCGACCCAGCAATCTATGAAGCTATCAGGGGATTACCTAAGACAGTGACGTGACCTTATTTAACAAAAAGGTGTAGCGGTGGATGCACCACCGATATAAAGTTTCATCCTTGAAGGGCATATTCAATGCCAGACCCTCCAAGTCGCCAGTCATCGTGGGAAGCTCCTTGAACGAAGCCGTTCTTATCATGCTTTCCCGTGGAAATCAAGTCGTATTCCGAGTTCCCTCTATGTAATCGTCGGAGAACGACGAATCTTGCTATTACTGCCTGTACTGTCCAACTCATTCCTACACCCTATTCAAACATGGTTCTGTTTCTTCGCAAAGCTTTTTTTCTTTCTGTCTCCTTCAAACGCGAGTAGTGTCTATCTGCTATGTATACGCAAACCCATGCTGTGGAGATCTTTCTTATGCTTGAATCCTTCTAATACAGTGCTCTTATGAAGTCTGGAAACTCGAGTGGGTATCAGTCAAATGAAATGCCGAAAAAGACAGACAAACACAAAGAGAACATGTCATCCCTTAGAGGGACTCCCGAAGTCTAGCTCGGAATCTCTCGCAGTTGTACTGCAGCCAAATTACAAGCGGCACTGTCGAAACCGCAGCGGCTGTGATGAACCACTTTGCGGTGCTGTTGCTGGTCAAAGTCTCCAAAGCTTGCTCCGCCAGCGGAAACAATGCTCCAGAGGGGTATCTGAGAAGAGCAAGCGAGGCGCTCGTCGCCACCGCATGCTGGGGTGAAAGGTCAATGATGTATACGGCCGATGTCATCTGCGGTTAGAAGTTAGCCGTCAATCCCAAAATAGAGGCAACATCAAGGAGGGTTGTTTCTTACAGTGATGGCAAATAGCCCGCTGCCAATGATGTAGTCGCCTAACAAGGGCACCAAGTAGGACACGCCCGGCCGAGCAGTCATGTTAAATATAATCAAGCCAGCCACGACCAGGAGAGCAGCGGCACTCAGCAGCGGGAGACGGTGCTCTGGAAGCCTATCACCGCCGCGCGCAAGTCTCGAAACCACGACATCGCTCAGAAAGCCGAAGATGAGGAGTCCGGTGAACATGCCGATGCCCATGCCGGCAAATGCCAGACCGGCCTCGGCGGTGTTGAAGTCATATACCGTCTTGTAAGTCATCGGCACATCGATATACAGCCAAACCTGGAGGCCGTAGAAGAACGATGTAACCATGATGGCCGGCAGTATACTAGGCTCGAAGGCTAAGGTCAAAGGCCGGATCGCCGCCTTGTAGAGCAGCGACCGCAACGGCTTCGGTGCAACGGTCTTGCTCTCGTCCACCTCACCGTCAACGTTACCAACAATGCCCATTGCGGCGTACTTGCGCCGAAGCACCGGCAAGTACGTCTCGCGCATGAACACCTGCGTGAGGATGGTACTTATCAAACACTATATCATCCAGTCAGCATGGCTCCATCAAGTTGGGGAACATGAGATGACGCCCATCAGTCCGCCTCATCATGAGCAACTCACCATAAAAACCAAGAAGCCAAAGCACCCCCTCCAGCCCCAAACCTGCGCAATCCCGCCTCCGAGCGCAGACCCGACCGCAGGACTGCAGACGCTCCCGAACGCCATCACCGACAACGCCCTCGCCCGCTCATGCTTCAGCATCACGTCCGTCGCCGTCCCGGAACCCTGCGTGATCGGGCTCGCCCCGGCGCACCCCGCCAGGAACCGGAAGAAGACGAGCCACTCCGCCGACGGCGCGACCATGCAGCCCAGATTACAGAGGAGAAGAAGCACATTGCTGACCTGGTACACCGGCCTCTTGCCAAACACCTCGCTCAGCGGCGCAATCAGCAGCGGCCCGGCCGAGAACCCCAGCACGTACGCAGACACCGTCAGGTGCGCCAGCGAGGGGTCGTCTTCGATGCCGAAGTCGCGGATCACCTGGTCTAACGCCGGCGTGTACACGGCGGAGGCTAAGGGACTGTAACCGGAGAAAAAAGCAAGACACGCGGTTAGCGCGGGGGTTCCGTTTTTTGACACCAACGGTGCAGGATGGCGTGAAGTCTAGAGGGCGGTCTGCCGCCCACCACTTGCATGCCGGCCATGGATGGTGGAGGTGTGGACTTACGTGACGCATGTAATGAAGGCGACCACTAAGATGTGAGTCCACCGCTTCCTAGCGGACCACAAGATGGGATCGAATGGTTCGCGGCCGTCTAATTCGGACGGCGAAGCTTCTGACGCGGGGTGGTGATCGGCGCCGGCGGCGTCAACGTCCGCCTTCTCAGGGTCCAGAAAGCGGGTAGCTTCGTCGGAACGCTTGTCATCCGATGGAAGCCATTGTGAGGTTTCGATGATGGCGGTGTTAAAGTCCTTCTCATCCAACAACCGGATCCCATCATCCCCATCTGCCGCCTTGTTCTTGGTGAGCATTGCCAAAACCCTGGTTCGGCCAAGTTTTGACGTCTTGTCCGTCCGGATCGCAAGAAGCTTGCTGATCTTTGATTTGTCTTTTTTCTGCCTTCTTTTTGACAATCGGCAATGGAGGGGAGCAAAGGTATGTAAACTGGAGTTCGGCCAAAACCAAAGAGGGAAGCTTGATGCCGACGGGATTGAAGCTGTCTTGTCGTTTCCGAGGTTTTTCCTTCTTATTCCCTCGCTTGCAGAGCGCAGAGGCCGTCTCTGATCTGTTTGACAGGCTGTTTGTCGTTCTCGTGATGGCGAGTCAACGGAGGGAAGACGATAGAAAAGGGTGAAAGGATGAAGCCGGAAGAGCACAGCTTCGGGACGAGGCCGTCGCCCGTTCGGCTTGCACGGCTTCATGGGAGACCCCGGCGTGGAGGAAACGTATCAGGACCGCCCCGCAAGCGTTGCGCTTCAAACTTTATTTTACGAGCTTGAAAAGTGGTCGATGCGACGCTATTCAGCGTTGTCGGTGAGCGACCACTTTTTTGACTTTCAGTAGGTTGCTGATGTGATCGCGTACGCACGAATACAGGCAAACACCGACAGCTACAACACATTGGCGATGAAGCAGCCATGTCCTGGCTTTCATGGAACCGCCATCCGGTGGGACAATGGCATTCTGCCGTCCTACCCGCGCGTCCGCGCACCACCGCACTTTACCTCGTACTGGACTACGGTATGGTATGGCATTTCGTCTTTACCGTCCGTAACGCATTGTCTCGAGAATACAGACTTTTGGCGTAGGTGCCGACTCGGCGATTCGCCTGTATCACGATGTTGGCTTGGCATTATAGACTCCCCTCGAACGAGAGTAGAGTTCCCGCCAGATCGTGAAGAGTAACCCCTCCTTTGCCAAAGAGACTACGGCAATTCATAATACGGCTCGAGTAATGAGAGAATAAATATGACACGAAAACCCCGCCGTGGCAACCAGTTGGCATAGTAGTGCTGGCTCATGCGTTGCAGCTGGTTCACCGCCAAACACCTGTCGAGACGCCGCCTGTGCACGACGTCGTGACAATCTCGGAGTATTTCCTAAAGCACGCGGTCTGGGCCAAGCCAGCCCACTTCCCCTCCGCCCAGCCATCTGCTATCCCCTCAACTATAGGGGTCCTGAGATCTCGGGCCCGCGCCCCGGCTCGGCTGGGGGCGACCTCTCATTGGAAAGGATGGTCTCCGAAAAAGTTCCGGACCCCTCGGGGTCCCTTCCTGAGGTCGTTGTCGATGGGGCTCAGAAACATCACCGTGACATTGACGTTGAAAAGTGCGCAAAGGGCCCTTCTGGCGAAGACATTGCGATTGAACCGACCGAGGAGAAGGAGAAGATGCGGCCAAGATATTTTGACGGGACGGCGACGCTGACTGTGGGAGATGGTGTGATTCTTATTCCAACTCCGAGCGCGGATCCGAGAGGTACGTCTTTAACTTATTGAGCAATCTCCCAGAGACAAGCTAGGCAAACTCTCGTGTGAGTTACGGACATTTTTTGACTGACGATGCGCAGATCCCCTCAATCTCCCAGGATGGCACAAGAAACTCATCGTGGCGATCATCGTGCTGTGTAAGTTAACCGGCACCAAAATCAAACTGAGGTTCAATCTCCGGAGGCCTAGACTCACAATGTGGTCTTCACAGACGCAATATCAGGCGTATGCCTAATCACCGCCCTCTCCGCGCTGATTGTGTACATCATGCCGGATTACGACCGCGAGGGCATCACCTCAGACCAAATTTCGAACCTCTTCACGTTCCCAAACCTTTTCCTGGGGCTCGGCAACCTCGTCTCCATGCCCATCGCCGTGGCGGTGGGCAGACGGCCGGTGATTCTCGCATCGAACGTACTGCTCTTCCTCGCCGCCGTGCTCTGCGCGACGAACCGCAGCTACTACTGGCATCTCGGCGGGCGCATGGTCGCAGCTTTCGCGGCAGCCCAGTGCCAGGCCTTGGCTCTGCTCATCCTACAGGTATGGCACACACGGCATGAAGCGTCCGTGTCCAGAGCTATATTGGGTCGTCGGCTAACTTCAAACGCCTCAGGACGTCTACTTTCTCCACCAGCGCGCGCGCGTCTTCCAGGTCTATGCGTCCGCTGAGGTCCTCCTCAACTCCAGCCTGGTGATCGCGTCGTCGTACATGGCCGACGCCCTGGGCTGGCGGTCGTGGTACTGGCTCTTCGCCGGTCTCTCGGGCGTCGCCATGGTCCTGACCTACTTCTTTGTCCCCGAGACGGCGTACGATCGGTCCATTGAGTCTTTCATGGGGACCCAGCCGACTGATACGAGCAACCTGCTGCCCGCGCAGAGCAGCAGTAATGGCGCCGGGCTCCTTGACCGCAGTCGGTCGCCGGGACCAAAGTACACCACGACGGACGACAGACCGAGCTTAGATCTCGAACGATTCGAGAAGCGCACCTTTGCTTCGAACCTGACAATCTTCGTCCACAAGCCGACTTGGTCTCGATGCTGGCTGTGCCTGAAGCAGATCGGGCAGGTGTTCCTGTTCCCCCACGTCCTCTGGGTAGCCATCAACAACGGCCTCTTCCAGGGCATCGACGTTTCCATCCAGATGACCTACGCAGAGGTGCTCGTCAAGCCGCCCTACAACTGGGCCAACACCTCCGTCTCCCTCATCCAGCTGGGTCAAATCTTTATCGCCCTGCTGTGCGTCCCGGTGATCGGCTGGATGAGCGACTACGTCATCCGCGTATCCGCCCGACGGAACCACGGCATCCACGAGCCGGAGCAGCGACTCCTCGCCTGGATCCTGCCTATGGTGACAGCCCTGATCTTGACGGTGCTGTACGGCTACGTCCTGAAGAACCCCGAAAGCTACCACTGGATGGCCATCGTGTCCGTCGTCGACGGCTACCTCATCGTGCTGATGGGCGTCAACACCGTGGGCACGGCGTACCTGATCGACAGCCACCCCAGCTTCGCCGGCGCGATCTTGGTGGCGCTGCCCGTCACCCGCGGGCTGGTCGGTTTCGGGCTCAGCAAGCATACCACGGAGTACATTACGAACCTCGGCCCGGTCCGAACGTTTGGGATCTACGCCGCCGTCAGTGCGGCGTTTTGTTTGTTGGGCGTCCTCCTGTTTTTCAAGGGCAAGCGAGTCAGGAGGATTTGCGCTCAATTGACGCAGTAATGCGATGACGACCTTCATGAAGTATTGAGTTATGAGACGTCGAAATGATGGGGGAACGGTCGGGCGCAAGTATTTGGGCCTTGAAACAATTACACTTCTTGTACATATTAAGAAATATAGCAGAGTGTACAAAAAGAACCTTGCTTCTCCAACCTACCTACGTGATCTTTCTCAGGATTGAGACCACAACTGCAGGCCACAAAGGGTTTGCAGTCTTCAAAGATTATGACAGTCTCAGCTAGTGAGACATCGGACTTTATTGAAGAGGAGCAGCTGATAGGATGTTATTTGGAACGTCACTCTGACTAGTAGGATCGATTTATGATAGACTAAAAGACAGCCTCCTTCAATAACTTTTCAGGTACGCCGCTCTTTCAGAAACTGACAGTGTTGGCCTTATTCAAAGACAGCTCAGCCGAGGAAACCCTTTATCGTGGAGATGGGTAGTCTTGGTGACTAGATCGAGAGGAGAAATGTGACCAACTTTTGATGAATCACTCCCGCTCGACATCATGGCTTCCAGCTATAAGGGTCAGTTCAAGACTCCCATTCCCACCTTCAACTCATAGTGATCAACCATCAACAACCAATTTTACATCAAAGCTCAAAATCAACATGAGCTGGCGCAAAGTCTTCAGGAGATCTTCCTCTCGCAGAGAACGTCTAGATGACTCCTCGTCGTGCTCATCGTCTTGTTCCTCGTCATGCTCCGGCTGTGAATCCCGGAGCATCGACAGCGAAAACATCTTCCGCGGCGCAACCCCGGCTCCTAGCACAGCCAACCCTGAAAGCCGCGCAGCCGCACCGCACCGCAGCGTCCTCGTCCGCTTCTCTTTCCTCAAAGACAGCAACAACACCATCCCGGTGCGCCTCACAGATCTCGCCGGCGGCTACGGCATGTACCACTTCCTGTACCTGCTCAGCGAGGCGGCCATCATGCTCATGTGCAACCCCGACACGACCGTCCCGTTCATCGTAGAGCACCTGCGCCCCGTGCACGCCGTCATTCAGGCCTACTTCAAGGTCAAGATTCGCTGGGACCTGGGCGGCGGACTGCTCGGGCACACTGAGCTTCCTCTCGTCGACGCCCATGAGACGTGGAACGATGTTGTCAAGATGCTGGTGGGACCGGGTGGGAGGGGAGGCTGCGTGGTGGTGGACTTACCGGAGGATAAGGTGGAATATCTGCGGCGGGTGGTCCCAGCGGCCGTGAAGCCGGATGACGAGCCGGAGACGGATGAGGAGGAATACCCGGAGTATGCGGATGAATGTGGGTCTGTGTAGCCGGCATTATCGGAGTGGAGCCCGGCACGGCGCTTGGCCAACTCGGCGTGTCAAAAAAAAATGAAAGCCGAGAGATATCTCCAAATCTACAATGAACACATCTAACCTCCAAGTGATGACCGCTGCGAAATCCCATCCCAATTCGAGATTAGGTTCAGTCTGGGCGCCGAAATAAACGGTCACAGTGGACACGCCCGCCCCTGTCCGACCCCTGAGCTCCGCGACCACTCGGCGCGTCCCCTGCCGCACGTGCTGCACGCACCTCCCCACACAAGCTTCAACATCTTTCTCGCCTCCCGCTCATCGGAGGTTAGTCGCATGCATCACCGTCAGAACTGCACCAAACATCCCGGCGAGGTTCCAACAGTCGACCATACGTCCACATCCACCAGCGGGAATTACAATCCTGCAAGACTATACCGCCCCCGCAGGATAAACACGCCAGTGAATTCCTGGTTCCTGCACGATAGCGCTGCATTATCTATCGGTTCACCACCACCCTCACCCGGAGGAACCCACGTGGGATACACCCAAGCCCACTCAAGGTTCCCCAATCCCAAATCGGTTTTTTATCGTAAATGACCTTGACGAAAAAAATTAAAAACCACATATACATATAAACAATGGCATGGCTTCCTCACCTTGCTTCCCACGCAGGCCACTAGCCTCCCCCGCCGCCTGGATCAAGTCCCTCGTCCTCGTCGCCAGCTTCATTATCTTCGCCGAGTACACCCTCTCTCAGGTAATGGCGCCCAAGGCAGGCTCCTCTCTCCTCGCCGCGCTCGCCGTCTTCGGCACCGGCTCCGGCGCCCTCAGCGGGTCCGGCACTACCGCCAGCGGCAACAGCTCCGCGGGTGCCGGCGGCGTTGACCTCACATGGCACGCCCCCGCAAGCTCCGAGGTCAACAACCTCACCTCCGTGATCAGCGGCAAGGGCGTCTGGGGCTTCATCTACGACACATCCGCCACGCCGGACGATAACTATGGGCAGTACAACTGGTGCAACATGCCCCACGTGCGCAAGACGGAGTATGTCAAGGCGAGCGATGAGTACGAGCTCAAATACGTCGAACTGGTTTGTTTCTCTCTCTCTCACACTGCCTTACAAAAAACTCTCACAGAGGCAAAGAGTGCTCACACCTCCAACAGATTCACCGCCACCACAAACGCACCCCCTACGCCTCCAACGCCTTCCCCGTGGAATCCTACCAGTGGAACTGCGACGAGCAAGGCCTCTTCTACTACGGCGAGCCCTTCGCCTCCGCCAACAAGCCCGCAAAGACCTACTGGAAGGTCTACATCTCCCCCGTCAACCCCTTCGTCCCCGCCGGCTGGATCGGGACCTGCCAGTTCCCGCAAATCACCGCCCAAGGGCTCGACGACTCCTGGGTCCACGGCGCAGACCTCTTCGGCGTCTACCACGACCTGCTCGGCTTCCTCCCGCCAAAGGACGCCGCCGGCTCCGCCGACTGGCTCGCCAAGGTCAAGTACCGCGTGACCAACAACCAGATCACCAGCCAGGTCGCCGGCATGGTCGTCAACGGCATGTGGGGCACCGCCGCCTCCACGGGCCTCTCCATCCAGGCCGCCGGCGTCGACTCCCTCGAGCCGCAGTACTCCTGCCCGGCCGGCGCCGCCCTCTTCTCCCGCATCAAGTCGTCCGCCAACGCCCCCTGGCAGCAGCACCTCGACGCCGCGGCGCCCCTCTACGCCACTCTCGACGACATCTCGGGCGTCCCCGCCGACGACGCCGGCTTCCACGCCAGCCTCGACCACTACTACGACAACCTCTCCGCCCGGCAGTGCCACGACAAGCCGCTGCCGTGCAAGCTCGTCGGCGGCGCGAACAGCACGACGTGCGTCACGCAGGAGATCGCGGACGCGGTGTACCGCCTTGGGCATTGGGAGTACTCGCAGATGTACCGCGACGCGGGCCCCGACGCTCTGGCGGCCAGCGTCGCGAACTGGGGCGTGTGGGTGGCCGAGCTGGCGACGCATCTGCGCGCTGTGGTGGCCGGGCAGAGCGAGACCATCTACTTCCACAACGTCGCGCACGACGGCTCCGTCTCGAGGCTGTTGTCGATTTTGCAGCTCGACAAGATGGTCTGGCCGGGCATGGGCTCCGAGGTTGTGTTTGAGCTGTACAAGAAGAAAGCCAAGAGCTCTTCCGACGGCGCAGCTGTTGCCCAGAGAGCAGCTGGATCGGATGCGAAAGCCGGAGAGAGCGGGTGGTACATTAGGGTCCTCTGGAGCGGGCAGGTTCTCAAGTCGTCGAACCCGTCGCTGGGCTTGATGGACATGATTCCTGTCGAGACACTGCTGGCGTATTTTGATGGACTGGTTGGAGAGAATGCAAGCCTGATCAAGGGCAAGTGCACTAATTGAGGGAAAATGAAATCATGAGATGATGTACGATGATATTTATCGACATATGACATGTGTAGTTATACATCTAGTTCGTTGTAATTCATAATGGTACTTGATCAGTCGTCACTTGGTTGTCGATTTACACCAAGCCGCACTCTTTCTCAAGATCGCTCCACCGCCCTGAGCGCATAGGGTCTAGTTTCCTCACCTTTGCCATCCAGTTCTTGAGGTCATCAGTCTCGTCATCACTCAACGGTCGTCCCTCAATCTGCGGTAATGTCCTGGTGTAATCCAACAGCGCTTTGTAGATGCCTACAACATCGTCGTAGTCCTCCGCTAGCTCCTTGATGTCTTCAATCTCGCGCTTCACGTAAGTCGCCCTTTCATTCTGCGAAAGGTTCTGGGCGATCTTTGGGCGGCGGTCCGACTCCGTCAGGTTCAGGATGAGAAAATTGTGGTAGTACCACAAGGACTGGTCTTCAGGGCCGACATTTAGCGCTTCGCGAACGAGATTCAGTTCTGCCCGAGTTAGCAAAATAAGCCACTTTGCCACTTTGATACAATCCAGGTGTCGCACCGTCTTCAAGGAACTTCTGTCTAGCCTTATCATCGGCGCTGCGCTCATCCAACAGGCGGGGTATCAAGTTTGTGCGGTTGTGCCATGCTGAAAAGTTGGAAAGGTCGCCGTTGATCATCTTGGTGGTGTACGCGAATTCAGATTCGACCATGCTCTTCCCGTCCAAGACCTCGCTTTCCAAGGTGGCAACCACCGTCCGCCGGTAGCCCCAGGCGTGGAAGTTGCGGCGGTCCTGGGTCAGCATCTTGGACACCAAACCTAGCTCCTCCTCCCATATGCGACGAGCTATCGGTTTCGGCAGGAGTTCGATTGCTTTTTGCAGTAGCCAGGAACGGTACTTCCAGATCCAGTAACTCTTGGGGAACTCGAGTAGGAGGGGTATCGTGAACGTCAGCTCGTTCTTGAGCGTGTTGATAATGTCCTCGCTCGTAGCACCATTGTTGGGTTGAGGCGGCGCATCGGGTGTCGGGTCAGCTGTTGTACCACTCTTCCCACTCTCTGGGGCCGCTTGGGACGCGGGGGCGGGCTGGGTCGTGGTCGAGGAAGAGGGCAACGAGTCGGCGGAGGACGGAGACTGAGTGCATGCTGCTGATGAACTCGCGGGCGGCGCCGACGGCGATGGCCCAGGCGAGGGTCTTGATAATGATCCACAGGTTAGGCAGCGCCTGCGGACGTTCCATGCCGTGTAATGCTCCGGGTTGAGACGGAGGAGCTTGGTGGTGAGGGAGAAGGTTTCGGGGTCGGAGGGATCGGGGCCGGCACGGAGGAGGCTGTCTTCGAGGGAACGTAGGTTCGCGATCTTGGCGAGGTCGGCCTGGAGCTGTGCTTCGGTGCGTGGCTTCCGGGCTGTGCGGGCTACGCCGTGCTGCGACGATGAGGTATCAGTACGATGGTCTGGGAGATGCGGAGGCGATGGGAATGCTGGAAAGGCCAGCTGGCTAGCATGGGGCCGAGGGTAGCAAGGTGGTGAAACCTACGGTGTCCATGGGGAACTCTTGGATGCTCCAGGAGAGCGGAATAGACTTGGGAATGGAGACGACAAGGGCGGACGGGGAGGTGTAAGAGCCCGGAAAGATGTCCCGGTGAGGGAGCTCTGGGCGGTTGAAGCTGATGCGGGCGTTGGATGAGCCGACAGGGATTCCCCACCACCCAGGCGGCGTTTGGCGGATGAGACAGGTGGACAGGTCCCCAGAGTTGTCTCGTTTAGGCATGTCATTTAGCCACTTTGGCCCGAGCTCCCGGTGAAGAAGGTACCGACCCGCGTATGCTGCGCTGTGTCGCGCTGCTTCTGTCAGCCATTCCCAACGTCACCTTCCTCTCAATAGCAGGTGGTGCAGTGGAAGCTCCTCTCATGATTCTCCTGCCAGCAGCGACTCCCGTCATTATCTGCGCTTCTAGGAACACTTCAGATCAGGATGGGTTTCATATGACACACGCTAGAGATTGGGAGGCGGCAACTCCCTGACCAGCGTCACAAAGCTTCTTGCCTTTCGTTCCTAAGTTGCCTCACGTATGAAGATGGCACCTTCTAGGCAGGATGAGCCAAGGGATCATCTATCTAGCGATGGAAATTTCCCAGAAATGCAGAATTTTCCCCTTCTCTCCTCCTCCATCTCCGCTCCTAAAACCCTTCTCTCCCCTAGGTACCGTCGTCGACTCGGCATCGTTCATCCATCAAACATTCGTCGGCGTGCGTATGACGGCTTCGTCTTGTATTCCTTGACAACCGTCACCTAGCAGCATCGATCCCCATATTCTTCAACTACGAATTTTTTTTTCCCTGATAAATCTTTTAGTGTTTCTTTTATATCTTCCTTCTCCCAGTCACCAACATTGTGGCCAGCATTCATTCAGAATCGAACGATGAGTCGATGCCCCAAAGTTCGGGGCAAGTCAAGACTACCAAACAGCTCTCGGGACTCCGGGTACCTTTCTGACGACTCGCCCGAAGACTATGTTTGGAATATTGAGAATGAGACACCGCCCAGGAGGGGACGCCTTCTGGATCGCACCAACTATCACCTGTCTGTAGACGGCTCAGCAGCTGGAGACAGAGGTTCGGAAGATGACAAGAGCACGCACTTGTCACCGTCAACTATACGACGACCGAAGTTGGGCTCTGTGTCTCCCAATCACCCGAGCTCGCCTTCAGTAACGCCCTCCAAAAGGCCACGGGTTTGTAACAGCTCATCGCCCCGCAGCGTTGGCTCTCTGCACAGTCCGGACCGTTTCGTTCCTCGCCGAGACCCTGCCACGCCCTCCTCCGAAAAGATCCGGGTCACCAAAGATCTCGACTCTTTTTCGCCAACAGAGAGATTGTTGAGGCATCAAAGTGCCACGTCGGATCCTTTCCAGAGGCCACAACAACGTGTTGTTGCTTTAGCATCCAACTTTCGATCCATATCAAACTCGATCTACCCAAGTAAGCTGCAAAAACGGCCGACTCTTCAAGATACTAACAACGAATAGTTCCCACGGCTCTGTCTGTCATTTCACAGAGCCAAAACCAGAGGCCGGATGGCCACGGTACAGTCTGGACCGTTGGCGGTCCGGCCCCTCCTCCTGGAACCGCCGTAGATGATGGCCGTGGTCACTATCTTGAGAGTGGCACGAACGCGCGGTTGTTCACTACCAATTTCGCCACTTCTCGTGTCAAACGAAGAGAGGACTATGAGCGAAACCAAGGGATCGTCGCCGATGCTTTGCAAATCAACCAAGTTGAGAGACTGCTCGATTTTGAGCATCCGGTCCCCTCGCTGAGTCGAACATTGACACAAAAGAGCCAGCAAGCACAGCTAGATTCAAGAACGCACTGGACCGGAACAAAATGGGTAAGCCCAGAGAAGAATACCGGCAAGTGTTTTCCTGCCCACGCGTGCATTTTGCCTTGCTGACGTTTTATTACCGCCTGCAGTTACACGGCCAGTGCAGCACAATCTACCCACCGCGTCTTACAAAGTACTTGACGCACCTGGGCTCCGAGATGACTACTACTGCTCCGTGCTGGCGTACTCACCAACTTGCGGTTCTCTGGCTGTCGGGTTAGGCAGCGCCTTATACGGATGGACAGAGCAATTTGGCGCAGTTCCCATCGACTTTTTCCATCACAAAGGCTGGGTCACTTCGTTGTCCTTTTCCTCCGTGGGAGGGAGCAAAGCCATCCTCGCTATCGGGAGAGCTGGCGGTCAAATAACTCTGATATCCCTATTCGAGAGTCTACCGCGAATGTCGCTCAGACAACAAACCTCAGTCAGCTGTGTCAGCTAGCGGCCAACAGTAACAATGAGACCGTCCAAGAACCCAAACGGTTCTGGTGGCCTTGTGCCCACGGAAGACCTTCTCGTCGGTAACGAACAAGGCCAGATCTGTTACTACGTTGTCGAGTGGCCACATACGTGGGAAGTAGGCCGAGACTCTTGGGGTGGCACGACAACACTGGTGGCGACTATTGCAGTTCATACTCAGCAGATATGCGGTCTTGTTTGGGCACCGAGTGGCCGTGAATTTGTCTCCGGGTCCAATGATAATTTGGCATGCTACTTCGAGATTGAGAAGATGCTGAAAACACGCAAGCGCAGCAGCAGCACATCATCCAACGAGACCGTCCGCCGAAGTCGAAGATCAGAAGTCCGCTCGAGGTCACCAGAAATCGCCGGCAACAGCTCTGAAAGCCGGTTTTCTTGGTTACCCAAGAGCTTGGAGTCGTTTCTTTACGGCACATCTGCGAGCGAAGCCATGGCGGAGCCAGACGTCCGAGGCAACGGCGGCCACCTTGTTCAAGGACAGGCAGATGAACAGACCACCTTTATTCGCGGATCAGAGAAGCATTGCTGGAGGCATGGCGCTGCAGTCAAGGCAATCGCCTTTTGTCCCTGGCAAGAGACTCTCATCGCTACGGGGGGCGGATCGAGCGACAAGTGCATTCACTTTTGGCACACGGGAACAGGCACCGCCTTGGCTACCATTGCCGTATCGGCACAGGTGACATCGTTGATCTGGTCCACGACACGACCCGAGATCGTGGCTACGTTTGGGTACGCAACACCGGATCACCCTTATCGAATCGCTGTATTCAGTTGGCCATCGTGCGAACAGATTGGCGCTGTTGCGTTGGACAATGGCGCTCGTGTCCTGTATGCCATTCCGTACCCTGGAGCACCAGCTGATGCAAAAAAGGGAAGTCGGAGTGTGAAGGAAGGGAGCATCGTCATGGCTACAAGTGATGAGAACGTTAAGTTCCACGATGTTTGGAAAGAAAGAAAGAACGCCCCGATGGGTGGTGTTGGGGTGTTGAGTGGCAGCGATATACTCGAAGGGCTGGACGGTATTTTCAAGGAGGGGGCCGTCATTCGTTAGTGCTTGTGAAGGAGTGAAGGAGTTGAGAGTAGACGCATTGATAGAATGAGACAATATGCCTCCTAACAGAGTTGCCTTGTGGTGAACAAGTTGGCTTTCCGTGTTTATTCCGAGACGGAACAGGACAATTCGACGTCCGCTTGTTGAAGTTCAAAGCCAACGTCAAGGCGGAGATGCGAAGTAACGATCATTGCAGCACCATTGCTGGAGCAGGCGCGGATGACGAAGAGGACAACTTACCAACATCTCATGGCTACGAATAAACGCAACAAGTACACAAATCAGTGACAAGGCAGAAGTGAGCAGACGAAAAGACGATCCAAGTTGGAGCAGTGATACATCCTGTAAGCATGTGTGAGTCTAGACCGTGCCCAGAGCGGGAGTAGTGGAAGCTCCAGGCCCCATTTCATGGGTACCTACCTACCTTACAGCTACCTACCTTAAGCCCGACGACCTCAACCCACCAGAAGCGCTACCCCGGGCGCCCCAGGCACCCTAAATCCGCAGGCGGGCGACTGCATCCCTGTAAATGGCAGGAACCGCAAAGCCGCTGCCTGCACCGCAAACGTAATCCGACCTGCTGGGCGCCGGGCGGACTGTCCTCCACATGGCCTCTCAGCGCTTGGTGTCTCAACCCCCGTCCCCGTTCAGGCGTCGCCTGCATGAACACCTCCAGAACCCCGAATCTTCAACACATCCGCTCTACCCACGTCCGAGTCGTGTTTCGCCGTCCAGATTGAAAGCAAGTACGCATCATCGAGTGTTGGAGTCGCACAATTGGCATCGAAGCCGCTTTCTTTGTTTCCTTCTTTTCCCTTTAGACTATATACCGAGGGCACAGGCACACAGCGGCAACCATGTCCAGCCTGAACCAGCTCTATCTCCTCGCCGACCACATCAAGCTCTCCCTCCTCGAGCGCCAGCGCGCCCAGTCGCTCAACCTCGACGCCGACACGCAGGACGGTCACATTTCACGCTCGTTGGACCAGTTCCGCGATGGCCTGGAGTTTCTAGATTCAGAGGTCCAGCGCCTCCAAGGCGCCGGCGATGAGAGGTAACCCTTCCCGTCTTCTCCGACACAGAGAGACCCCCATATCTCCAAAACGTCAAGCGACGTCATGTTCCGGACCTTCTCCACCGACATCACCATCAGCAAAAAAGAAACATGCGCTGACCAGAGATGCGATCCAATGTAGCGCCGCTCAGAACATCACCGACTCCCTCCCCGCCCTGCAAAAGCAGTTCTCGGACCTCACATCCCAGTTCCACGGCTTCTCGAACCCGTCCACCTCGTCAACGACCACGTCCCCGAACGACCCGTCCCTCTCCCCCGACTTCGCCGCCGCTCAGTCCACGAAACCGCTCAAGGGCTCTCTCCGCGGCCTCCCCGCCGGCGGCTCCGCGAACAAAACGGTACGCTTCACCGACTCGCCCGCCGCCGCGGAGGACCCCAATGCGGCCGCCCTCTTCGGCGAGGGCCGCTACCGCGACGACCCGACAGACTCGGCGGGGTACCGCGACCAGGCCGAGGGCATGGACAACCAGCAGATCCACGAGTACCACTCGCAAATTATGCGCGATCAGGACGATCACCTCGACCGGCTGGGCGAGTCTATCGGGCGCCAGCGGGAGCTGAGCATGCAGATCGGCGACGAGCTGGATTCGCACGTCGCGATGCTGGACGAGGTCGACGGCGTCGTGGACCGGCACCAGGGACGCCTGGACCGCGCGAGGCGGCAGCTGGGCAAGGTCGCGAGGGACGCGGGGGAGAGCAAGCAGATGATTGCCATCATTGTGCTCATCATCATTTTGGTTCTGTTGATTGCTATCTTGAAATGAGCTTGGAAGCCCTGATGAAAAAGGTCTGGCGGGTTTTTTGGGGTCGTCGAATTGAGGGCCACACATTGTGTACTGGTCATCATTGGTTTTCTTGTCTTTGATTCCAAGGCGCATAGCATGGTTTGGCGTTTGGGGAGTCTTGCTACTTTGTAGAATCTTTCGTTACTCGGGATGACACCCACCGGCATACAACTCTTGATCATGGGTTCTTCAGCGCTCGCATTTCATAAGACGGTGGGCGCCCTCTTACTTGGCTACTCAAAAAAGGTGAACGACGGTCGATAGGGGACATGCTGTGGTGCTGCCGTCAAGGTGGCACGATAAATGTCGACCGTGCAACCCAGCCTCCTCTTGAACCAACGCATGTCATCAACGTGCTGGAAGGCTTCGGCGTCAACTTGGGCGGTGCGAGTGTTGAGAACATAGGCTACGATGCGGCTCCCGGATCTCCAACAAACGGGGTTGTTCCGTTAGTGCCATTGGTCTATTAGTCTAGTTGGTTAGGACGTCGGATTCTGATTCGCACCCAGATTCTTCCGTAGGCCCAGGTTCGAATCCTGGATGGACCTGATCTTTTGCCTTTTGCGTCAATTCACATCACAAACTCGTCAATTTTTCCTGTTGTTATCACTTGGTTTGTTGTTTTTATACTTCATCCAGGTCGGCGCTTAGATTTGACATGGATCGCAAGAGGATGCTAGTCTTAGGTGGCAGTGCTACCCACCCAGCCCCTCCACCAGTAACTCTCAAAAGAACCCTACTCATCTTTGTCAGATCTAAAGAAACTGCTTGTCGTTGTTTTTCCATTTCAACTTCGTCTGTGTCAACTGGTCAAAGAAATGCCGACGATGTCTTCTAAGAAAACGAAATCTTGTGTTCCCGCAACATCGGGCGATTTGTCACAATCATGTCATGAGTCCCATCCCTCCGCCCATCACGCGGTTTTGAGAGTGAGAGCACAAAGCTCACCACGAACAGACCAAAATATCAAGAGTCAAAACTTTGTCCGAAAACATGACTGCTCTTGAGTCCTTTCATGACACAGCCACATCTTGCAATGAGTTGTGTGTCGTGGTCAGAAAGGGATTTAGTTGGCCTTATTAGCCGGCCAGCCTGTCTTCAGGCCAGGCAGCACATATCTGACATTGAATGCCCATGAAGTAGAAAAACCACTTCAAATACAGGAATCCAATACACTATATAACCTTACGAAAGGTTCATCAGTACTCGACCATAGAAACACACACATACACACACCATGCGCATCTTCAGAAACCCCCCATCGGGCCTCGACGCAATCCTCAACCGGCCCCCCGAAATATCTTGGGACCGCCTCCTCGCCTCCCCCATCACCACCATCGCACGCTACCTCTCCACCTTCTTCCCCGTCTCCTTCCCGATCGTTCCCCGCGCAGACGACGCCGTGACGGTGGTCTGCATCTCCGACACGCACAACACGCGGCCGCGCCTGCCGCCGGGCGACATCCTCGTCCACGCGGGCGACCTCACCGTCTCGGGGACGCGGGCCGAGCTAAAGGAGACGGTGGACTGGATCAAGGCGCAGGAGCATCGGTTCAAGGTCGTGGTGGCGGGGAACCATGACCTCTGTCTTGACGAGAGATTGAGGGAAGGAGAAGAGGAGGGTGGGGTGGATTGGGGAGATGTGGTGTACCTCGACTGCGCGTCCGCCACGCTCAAAGTGCCGGTAGGCGGCGCCGGGGGCAAGACGAGAAGTATAAAAGTGTACGGCAGCCCGTACACGCCGCAGCACGGGAGCTGGGCGTTCCAGTATCCCCGGTCCGGGCCGCTGGATCCATGGGCGGGGAGGGTTCCCGCGGGGACGGATGTGTTGGTCACGCATGCGCCGCCGAAGGGGCACATGGACGATCCGAGGGGGAACTGGGGGTGCGAGATGCTGTTGAGGGAGTTGTGGAGGGTGAGGCCCAGGTTGCATGTCTTTGGGCACGTTCATTGCGGGCATGGGGTTGAGGCTGTTGGATTCGATGAGGTTCAGGGGGCGTGGGAGGATGTTGTGTTGAACGTTTCAAAGGGTGGAAGGGGATTCGGGGCGTTTGCGAGGATGGTGAGGGCGTGTATTGGCGTTTGGTGGAGGGGTGGTAGGAGGGGGAGAGGGGAGACGGTGCTGGTGAATGCGGCTGTTGTGGGTGGGCTTGGGGATAGGTTGGTTCGGGAGGCTGCTGTTGTGAGGATATAGGGTAGATGTAGGTTGAAATAGAGTCATTTGATAGACAAAAGGCAACTGGGATCAGTGGTTTTGCGCAGTATTCGAGTCATATCTGCAAGTCAGAGGCCAAATCGACCGCTGATGGGCAACTTGCGTCACAAGGAAGGGTGAGTTTACAGTCCTAGAAATACTATAAAGACTCTTTCATTTTCTGCGTACACAAAGTAAGAACAAACGCAATACCGGTGAAGCCGCTATCGCTGTTCCAGAAAAGACCCGTTCATATGGATTCAGCATAGGGTGGGCAGGCGTGCGCCCTTTTATATATGCCAAACCCAGAGGCAAACTTTGTGGCTCTCTCTGGCATCTCCGTCATTCCTCATGTGTTGCGTTGCTTCACACGTAACATATCTCACAAGGCTACAAGCAAGGGCCCCTGCATAAGCGCTGTCGATACACCATGATCATATTGAACATATATTCACCTACTCTCAAGCTTTAAGAACTCTTCGCAAAGTAAAGGACATTTATGCAGTTGAGATAAATGAATAGCATCGCAGATTTATAGCTGTTCTGAGATTTTCAGGCTAAATTTTGACAAATGTAAGTCCTTCTAGCCCCTGTGCTAAGCTATGGAGACAGCAGACGCGAATTGAATGAGACGATATCGAGGTCTCAAACACAGCTTTCTTCGGCAGTGAAACGCTCCAATAGCGGATCTAGAAGTCAGATGACTACAGGAAAGCATAGTTTGCTCCGTTTCAATATAAACGGTGGGCATGTATACCGTTCAAATACGTAGACGATTCCGACAGTGGCGGAGGTTAGTTTCGTACAATACGATAAACAGCTCTTGTGGATTGTGGATGCATACACCAATGATTCGTCCATGTTTGAGATCTTTTTCTGGAGACAAAGACTGGCTCAAGCAAGGAGATTGCTTTCCGGTGTTGGTATTGTCTGTTTCGTCCATTTCAAATGACACAAATAGAACTGTCAAGAACCTTCCAGCTTGGTAGTCCAGAGATACAAAATTGACCTCGTTAAGAGCGAATCAGGCTTGTTGGATCATAATAAAAAAAGAACTTCAAGCAAAGCCGGTTGTAATCGACCACAAATGAGCTCCTGGTCAATCCATGAATGCTACATTCACTAGCAGAATCGCGTCTCCGATGTTAGTACTGCGCTGCAAGTTGTGATGCTGAACCCAGACGGCAGGCTTGGTTTCAGTGGGCTCTCTTGTCCTCGGTTCCATCCATAGAATACTCTACAAACAGCAGCGGGAACGCTGACTTGTTCAACTGAGAGAAGTCTCAATGTTGCGAATGGGGCATGTTGCCGTCGGCGATTATGAAGATGGCAGAGTGTAGCAAGCCGTGGAGACACATGCGATTGTCCCCTTGAGTTCTAATGACAAATCCTGGCAAGATATAGTTTCTCGAAAAGGAGTTGACTCCAGACATCAGACAACAGCAGTGAAGGTTTAGAGAAGCAATGACGGACCGCATATCTGGATCATCTGCTCTCATTCCGGGAAGAACATGCAGAGACCAGCTGACAAGTCTTTTTGTGATATCGGCCGCTCACGATAATGGGCCAATGAGGTCGAGCAGAGTACACAGAATTGCATGGAGATGTCAAGACAACACAACATCGGTCGCTCGATTTAAAAAAATGAGACTAGGAAGTCTCACACTGCCTTTCAATCAAATCAAACTTGTGCTCTCCACAGACTCCTCTTCAAGTTCGACGCACTAGCAAAACACAGATTTGGAATCATCGGCTTACTTCGCCGCAGCTATTTTCGGGCATGAATAGTTCGACAGAGAAGACGAGGTACAAATCTTATCCCTATGCGGATGGTGTGCAGTCGAATAGCGGCTAATGATCATGACGATACCGCTTTCAGTGGTCGACCGAGGCTCACCAAAAGCCGCAACTTCCAGTCAAAATCATTCTGTGCTCGTGAAAATGTGATTTCAGGACTTGACAGCATAATTGTAACGGTAATCAAGGGCGTCACCATCTTTCGAAATACTGGCAGTGAGTCTGACAAAGCTCAGAGAGACGACATGACAACGCTTTAGATCGCGTCTTTAAAAGCCCATCGTAACCTCCAAGTGTTGAGCTTCTCAAAATCAACTCGGAAGCTGCGTACGATAAATTTGAAGAGAAGTTTACTTAGTTTCCCAATTGGAGTGATAAATTCATTCACCACTCGAGGGCCAGCCACAGCAGCAGGAAAAGGAACGAGTCTACAGCGGTTGCTGCTTGCCATCTTGGTCATCGGAGTATTGTGTATAATCAATATCAGACAGAAACGAATTGAGGTAATACATCGCCTTAAATCATTGAGGAGCAAAGAGCAAAAACAGCACGTTGTTCTGGTCTGGCTAAATCTTGGCATCATATAAAAGTCAAGGACGCGCGTTGTCAAGAATTGCTGAACATTCTTCAGCCTCTGTCTCCTTTTATAGAATAGTACCAGGTCCCTCCTTGCATCCTTATAAGCTATACCCATGCGCAGTATTCACTTTCCTCGGCAAGATGAAGACTTCCTCTTAACTGCTGCTTCCAAATGCAGAGCAGGCATCTCCTATCGAAACGAGAAGTAGAGCAACATAATCAGTTTAAGCCAAAGACAGCAAGTCCCGAGCTTCTGTCGACGCTAGTCACCCTTTCCCAAGTATTCGCGTAGAGATATCGAGGTGCACAGTCGAAGGCGTGGCCGCATGGGCATAACATAGCCCCTTGGATGACGAGGAATTGTGATAGCCTGCTCTCAAGCCATGCCTTTCCCCGCCAAGCAATCTGACCGATACCCTCGAAGACAATGAATGGCTTGCTCATCCTCATCGTCTCCCGATGTCACTTAAATACTTATACCCGCCACTGGGACTCACGAACGTGCTCGTCCGGAAGGCGCACCCGGCACCCCATATAGGGGTTATCTGAGCAGCGCCATGCTCAAGGCTCTAGGCCAGCGACCAAAAGATTCGGGGTGCCAGCCTACCGGATTTCGCTGTGTGGAAAACAAAAACTCTGCTAAGGACAAGGATAGACGAGCCTGATATTGACCTCTACATGGATAGCGAACCTTCGTCGCTGGCTTTGACCCCCCTCGCTCTGCTATTCGCCTAGGAATATCACGACACTTGAGGCGAGAGACTAGAATCCTCCGGAGGTTGAACTTGCGGCATCGGGCTTGTGAAAGCGTCTGTTTCTGCGGCCATGCTAGGTCGAAACCAAAGAGCACCTGATTTGTGCTGCAGGGAGACCATGACGATCGGATTCCGACATATATATTCCTCGCCGTAGTTGGAATACACATTTCACCTCCGCATCCCAAATCCACACTACCACGCCGTAAAGTTTCGATCTTAAACTTAGCTTCATCATCTCATCATGCTTTAGTAGCTGGCTTCATAACCTGTCCCATTCATGGATATCCTACAACACTCCAAAACCCATCAACACTCATCATCCGCCCCCAACGCCCCGACACTAATCATCTTCAAATTCGGCCCCAACCCAACAAACAAGCTCTTGTGCCGCTTCCCTGGCATAGCCGTAAAACTCAAACTCTTAATCGGCGTCCGGCCCTTGATCCCGTCCACAGCAGGACACCGCAGTCTCCGCCCCGACAGCAGCGAATACATTCCCACGTCCCCGTCATCGTGCGCCGCCGCCACGACCCCGGCGTCCGCGTCGACGGCCCAGCCGATGTGCATGTGCGCGTCGTTCTTGTACCCCTCGAACTCGACCACCGGCTGCACGCCGTTCGGGAGCAAGCGGCGGTAGCGTATGTCGAACACGGCCATCAGCGACCGCGGCCCCGCCGCGACGAACTGGTGCGGGTTCACGGCCTCCACGTGCGCGACGGGCCCGATGGGGAGGAGCTCCCAAGCGTCCCACATCGTGCGCATGTCCATCAACTTAATGGTGGGGTTGCGGCCGCCCGCGAACAGGACGTTGGGGTTGTCGGGGAGGAAGGACGAGGTGAAGAAGTCGCCCTCCGGGGGGCCGGGGCGGGGCCGGGGTGGGCCGAGCCATCTGACGCGCTCGTCGCCCATGAGTCTGAGCAGGCCGAAGCTGGTGCCGATGACGCAGACCATGTTGGATGAGGAAGGCGGTCCTATGGTCGTTGAGTTTACGACGCCCTCGTGGCGGCCGCTGCGGTAGGAGATGTGACGGAGGTTGTTAGCTGGAGGTGCGTCAGTGAATGGGATCTGTGAACGGCACATAGGGGGCAAGTTACCCCTGTCAAGCAACCACTGCGGCCGGTGGTCGTTTGGGGCAGACCGTGGCGGCGAAAAGAGGTAGAGGTTCGTATTATTGCTCGGTTCCCGTGATGTTATGATCATACGGTGTGAGTTAGGGTGGTAGTTGATGGATGAGATCTGAGGGCAGCCAATCATCTCATGGCGATGCGACAGCCGATGCTCCGGACGACTGGAAGCATCTGTACTGAAAGATATCCTGCGAATGTCAGCATCTCGACACCGTAGATCACCAGACCAACATACTCGTCGTTCTTGTTCGTGGGTATATACGACCCGATCACAGTCTCCTCGTCAACAGCTGCAACACTTTAGCATACGCACACCAACTCAAGACCTCATGGGGGCCAACTCACTCGCATACGCAACCCCGAGCCCCGTCTTGTCGTCGTGCCCACTGACCCAAAAGCACGGGATGTTGGGAAACCTCCCCGTCGCGAAGCTGGGCACGAACGGCACATCCCCCTTGTCCGTCAACCCCCTCGCCCACGCAGCGGCAGGGACATCGTTCACCCCAAAGCTGCTGCCGCCGCCGCCACCGCTCCGGATCTTCCTCTCTCTCTTCACGACGCCGAGCTCGGCCTCGAGGAAGCCGCCGAGGAGCGGGTCCCGGAGCACGGCGGACCGGACAATGTGCCGCTTAAGCCTTTCCTGGCGCGCCGCGACGGCCTCGGCCTCGCGATGTTTGACCTTGCGCCGCTTGACGCTCTCTGCGGACCACGCGGCGTTCTGCGGCGCCGACTGCGTCTT